TTATTTACAAGAAACTACTTGTGCTACATATGAGAAATCATCAACAACAACACATGCAACTTAGGCAGAAAAAGTGGCAGACTAGAAGATCCTCTGCTGAAATTTTCTTGAAACACTGAAGTTGCTACATTATGTTCTTGGTGGAACTTTCAGAGAAATCTCTCTCCTGCCGTAACACTGAGCTTTTGCTCAAGAATCAATCCGTTAATTAATTATGTTCTATGCAGCCTTTACAACATGCCCTTCTGAAGACTGCTCTTTTAAAGCTGTGTAATTCACATGCAGCAATACCAATGTTAACACTGGATGAAAACAAACAGCACATTACACCGACCCAGTCAGAGGATACCAACAAGATGCAAGTAACCCTCAAAATCAAATTGCACATATTCCTAAAATTTGACTACTTCCCTGCTTTGAGGATGGCTTTCATAAGTATGCTTTTGTCAAAGATGACCATTTTTTCCAAGCAAAAGTAACCACTGAAAGCAATCACAGTGATCACTTTGTAACACAAACATTTGATGGGAGAAAATTGTAAAATCACAACACACTGAAGTGCAGAAGTACAACCTATTTTGCCTCACGTATCTAATCCATAAGGACATCTTGTATAAAGGCAGGAAACAAGCTTAAGGATATGACATCAGGTCAAAGATATTGTGGGCAAGAGGGAAATAATTCGAACTCCCTATTTCAAATCTCCAGAAAACAGCTAGTGTAGGACAGTACATAATACTAAACATTCCCTAAAGTAACTGGGACTCCAGGAGAGGTCACAGAGCTCTGTAAGGGGAATTGATGAATAAAAATATGCAACAAACTGCAAGTCTATAAACAAGGATTTAACTTTTGATCACCAGCACAACCATACCAACTGTAACTACCCCACCGCATATGTAAGGGCTGGTATGTGGGGGTGAAGTAACACGACAGAGTATGCACCTTTCCTCAATTGTTTCTGGACATCAGGAGCTCAAGATTAATTCAGTTCCACATTTGACATTATGTAGTGAGTATCAAGAGAAAGGGAAAAAAAGGTATTTTCTGCCAAAAAAGCTCTATGCCTGCAAGTTATTATTCCCACATTTCTTCAAACATATTGACAGGTACTTTTGGTATGAATTAGGGCACTGGATTAGCATCACTTTTGCCACCCAAACCAAACACAGCACCTGTAAGAGTCTCCCAGGAGACTCTGTTCTGATTACAAGAAGGTTATAGATTTGGAACATACTCAGAAGCCACAGTCAGCAAAATTAATTATTTTCTCTTTAGCCTAGAGAGTTTTCTATTGGAAGTTGCTTCCAATGTTTCCTGATGAAATGCCCTGCTCATTCCTTCCTAAGGGTAGCAAAAGGAAACGGTAATAATTTTAGGCGCTTCCCAGTTTGGGTGGGATAAGCCGACTGTGTTCATGTGTGTGTATTCAAGATTACCACACAGACTGATATTCCTCCATGCGCTCTAAATAGGAAAACCACTAAGACAAACAAGCTGTTCTCTATTGCAATTTTCTGCAGCAATACTCAAGCATTAAGCGTATTCCCCTTAAATCTAAATTTGTCCCAAAGAAGTACTAATACACTTTTAAATCAAATTTTTGCCACCATGTGTTTAGTTTCTATCACTCTCTACAAATAATATGTTAGAAAGTTTCAAAAACAGTAGTGTTGCCTTCTCTTCTGCTTCTTTCCACCTGAGAAAACAAACTGTTTGGTTAACCAGCAGGGTCACTGAAAGCAAAAATATTCTTATACACCATTATCTGCCTTTTGAAATTATTTTTCCTAGCACAAAGTACAACACCTCTTTTATCTCTATTTGGACATTCACTTCCCAAAAGTGATATCACTGGGAAATGCAATTACTTCTTTCAGACAAATGGACTGCCTTTCAAAGCTGTGGACTCTGATATTAAAGAATCATTGGAAGGCTTGAGTTGGAAGGAACCTTAAAGACCATCCAATTCTGACCACCCATCCCCCACAGGCAGGTACACCTTACACTGGACCAGGTTGCTTAAAACCCCATCCAACCCGGTCTTGAACATTGCCAGGGATGGGGCATCCACAACTCTGGGCAACCTGTTCCAGTGCCTTACCCCCCTGTGAGTAAAGATCTTCTTCCTAACCTCTAATCTAAACCTATTGTCTTTTAGTTTAAAACAGTTCCCCCTCGCTGTATCACTATCTGCCTGTGTAAAAAGTCACTCCCCTCTTTTTTATAAGCCCCTTCAAGTACTGGAAGGCTGCTGTAAGGTGTCCCCAGAGCCTTCTATTCTCCAGGTTGAACAGCCCCAGCTCTCTCAGCCTGTCTTCATAGGAGAGGTCTTCCAGCCCTCTGAGAACCTCCTCCCTAAAAGTTTTGTGCTCTGTCCAGGGTTAAATCTGCCCCTCCTGAGTCTCCAAAAGGTTTTAATCCGCAAATGAAATCTCTTCTTGAGAAACTACAGGATCAGACAGATATACATCAGTGGGCAGACAGCACAGCCAGACATATGTCTGTGACTGAATATATAAGAGCAGCAGTTAAGTGTTATGCTTCATTAAGAGTTTACATGCAGTAAAAGTAATTCTCAGCTCTGTCAAAACTTAAGAAATATGCATTTTTGAGAGAATCTACTTGAAAAATGAATTAGATTTCTTTGCCATTACAGATTATATCACCGGGACAAGTTTATCAAGGGGCTCAAGATTAAAGATTTGCATCCCTTTAGGCTTTAGCAGGGAACACTACAGTTTAAAAAAGGCAGGCAAAGCAGAATGAGCCCCTGTGCTGTAAGTCTATTGACTGAGCCTCATTTAAAATGCTACTAATTTCACTTAGGGAACATAAAATCTCTGCTTGGATTCATAAATGTGATTAACTAGGCACTTTGTCTGATGGTTGCTCCACCACAGCAATAAAATTTCTGCCTGGGCCATGAACAACATATTTGGCCTTTTTTATACAGTCAAAGAGCAACAGTGAACGTCAATGAAATCAGTTATCTTGCTAAAACTTGAAATGGGATGTTTGTGGGGTTTTTTGTTTCATTGTTTTTATAATGGAGAAGCTCTGCATAGAGCAAAAAACACTCAAAGACGCTCTCCAACCAGATGGGTTGGAGTTAGTCACTCACCCAATTACATCATCTAAAAGTGTGAGAAAAGGAAATAAAAATTATTTCTTTAAAAACCTAGGAAGATGGGCAGAGGAGAACTTCTGGACAAAACCTCTACCTCAGCTCACAGCTGAAAACCACCCAGTGGCCTCAGGACGTAAGAGTCTTTGGGCTATCACACACCTCTCTAGCTACACTGCCCAGTAAAGAGCTCCCATACAGTTAATAGCACAATATCTGATATAACTTGCACTATCAGCCCTTAGAGATCTCACAGCACTTAATACTTGCAGCAGGGGTCCCCTCTTGAAAGGAGGTATATTTGGCAGCTTCATTTTGGTCACATTTTGCAGGTTAGTTTTGAACTTGATTATAAGTTCACCCCTGAAAGACAATCTTACTTGTTCTTGGTGAACCTTGCAAAAACCTTGGAAAACCTTGGAAAAGCCAAAGACAACTCCATAGTCATTAACAGTATTTAAATATTGATACAGTTAATGCTCAGCTCAAAGATGTTACTGACTACTAATATCCTTTCTGGTATGACTAAATCCCTGTACTTAAGAGGCAATGAAAAGAATTATGCAGCTAACCATTGTTCTTTCCTTGCCCGTATGAGCTACACAGGAAAAAATGCAGATCTCTTCTCCCTGGCTTATTTTTCAAGGTCAGACATCAGTTCTACTCAGTGCCAGACAGAATGTATCCAAAAGGAGATGGTTGATCACTTTACAGAATAAGGAAGCAAAAAATACTACTTATTTAATTTTATTTGTATTTATGTATTAAAACACATTTATTTTTCTCTGCTGAAGGGTAGGCAGCCTGTGCTACCAGATTACGAGCAGACTTTGTGCAGTTTTGGAAAACAGAACTGTTCTGGAAAGAATGTGTCTTGTAAATAAACCCCTTCCTGTGCTTCATGATTACCCCACCTATCCCACAACCCTTTAAGGTGGCACACATGCTATGACTGCATCTGGCTGGGGCTGACAGTTTCTCCAGTTGGCCCCACAAAAGGGTAGAAAAAAGTCCTGCAAAACAAGAAAAAACAAAAAAGCCCAAAGATATCACCTCTGCTCTTGGCACTGAATCACACTGCAGTCATCATTTCTGATAAAACTACACAGCAGCTTTCATGTTGCAGTGATGACAAACTTCCTGCTACAGGCTGGAAGAGGTCAGCATTCCCTTTCTCTGCCAAGCGGTCCAAACCCTGTTGCTGCTGGGAAAGCAGTCTCTGCTTCAAGTGTTACCTGTAACACCACCAGCCAAACTTATACATAGAGGTGTTAATTCACAAGCAGACAACTCTCAGAAGGAAGTGTATCTTGCAAAAATGATCAAGGTGATACCATCTCTACATGAGACATGACTGAGGCCAAATCCTTTGCTACCCAGACTCTAGAAAAAAGCCAGATTACTATGAATTACAAATAAAAGCTTTTAATACATGCATCCCTCTCAGATGAAATCAAACAGCTACAGAGGGATAAACAAACATGACCACAGTGACTAAAATTGGCGAGCATGAGAGATGAAGTTTGTGTGAGATCAGCAACCCAGAGTATCTTCAGTGATGCATGGCAAAGACCAAAAATGTGCTTATAAAAACACAAATTGGCTACAGAACTCAACAATGAACAAAGCACAGCTGTGCAATTTCAGTTGAAAAGGTAGTATTTTATTCCAAATCTGCCTGCACAAACACAGCACGTGCTACTCACCTACATCCTTTGTGAAAAGCCACTCCTCTGTTACTTCTCAGCCCCATCGTTCCCATGAGCTGGATCCATTAAGAGTTAACACAATGAGTACATAAAACCGCTTAAAATAACCACAGAGTCACCAAGATAAAGACCTCTGGATAATATAAATGGTCTGGTTTAATCACGAGCCAGGACTGCTGATGGTGTTTGCAGCTATTACAACATTCACTCTGCACACAGACAGCAGTGTGCGGTAGCAACAGGCAGCCCAGCTAGCTGGTTCACAGTGGGGTAAGAAACCAGACAACGCTTCTTTAATAAATGTAGCAATTCTACAAGGGGCTTTCACCATCATCACCATTATACCTTTGTGATAAAACAAGGAAGATGTTTTGACCCTGCATAAATCTGCCAGCACAATGTGCTTTGCCATCTGTACCAAATTCTCTTGTCCTATCCACGGATAAATCTATCCTAAATATTAGGGGAGCCCACTAAGCAGAAAACAACCAGGGCAGTTAGTGGAAAAGGGAAACAATGTTTCCTCAGAGTTACTGCCTTGATCACAGAACCTCTTAAGCACACAGCACAAGTCTTCTGAACACCATCAAACAAGTGCGGTTCCCAAGAGAAAACTCTGCATTTCAGTTGCATGCCCAGACATTAAGGAGACACATGTAAAGACTCAAAATCCATTTGTTTTCTTAATCTTCTCTGATTCTATGTCCTTCTGCAACTTCCGCTTCTTTTCCTCTTATACCACGTTCCATTTTCTCACGTTTTTGTTTGCCATTCCTTATACCAAAAAAACAAATCCCTTTACCAAAAAAAAAAAAAAAGCTAATCAGATTTAACTTTGCTTCCTTTTACTCCAGCAAAATTGACAGACACCTTTTAGTAGTTTCATCACAATCGAAGGAGGGTAGTGTCAGCACCATCGTCCCGGACAGCTGGAAGAGGAACAGTCAAGCAGTGAAGCACCTCCTGAGCGACAGCAGGGATCAGCCATGCATTGACACAAGAAAGCCTTTTCTCAACTAGCAGCCATTTTCTACTGAATGTATTAAAAAAAATGCAGCTTTTGAAAATGACACCTGAGTGTCTGTGAGTAATGGTACAACTATCTATGTATACTAAAGAATTGAAGTTTCTTAGCTAGAAATTATCAAACAGGTTCCAGTGTTGGTAGGTAAGCAAAACAAAAAAGTGCAAAAGAATCATAAAACTATATAACTTTTTTACATCTCTATATCCACTACAAAACCAAATGCAACATATTTTGAAGTCTCAAAAGAAAAACATATTTCCTTGTGAACTACCATAATTCTAGCAACTTGAGTTCTAATTTGGTAGCCTGCCTTGTACAAGATCAAGCTCTGAGCTACATGTATCCTACAAATCTTCTGAGATCCACTTAGTCACACAGATATGAGGAAATACAGACTTTAATAGTCAAATTCAGTAGCAGCGATAAGAACAGTAACTCCTGTCCTGAAAGGGAACCACAAATAGGAAATGACTCATGCTCAAAACATCGACACTTATCAATTGCAAAACAATCAAATTAGTATTCCTGTCAGCTTATCTGAAGACTGCAACCCTTTTAGTGTTCAGTTTCACTGAGGTCTCTCAAGATCAAATCTATCAAAAATCACAGAAAGCTTGCAGAAGTCTATTTTTTTCAATGACTTTTCTCAGTCCTTCTGTTTTGTGCCTCCACCATACTGGAACACATTGGTGAGACAATGTCATCAAGCAAGGCCTGGCACAGGCTTGCATTTATCTAACATAATGCACAGAGCTCTGCTAGGTTCCATTTGGACTGGACACCCTGTGTACCTAGAAGGGTTTGTAAAGTTAGCACGTGAAGTCACACACAAGTCCATGATCTATCCTTGATTGCAGGCAGTGCAGAACCAACATCCTTATACCACATAAACCCATTTGTGAGCAGTGACACAAATAAACAATAATAAAGAGAACAGATCACGGATGCAACTGCAAACAAGTCAATTTGCCATGGAAGGGAATTCATCAGGCATACAGTAAATAAAAGGGAAAAGGAAAGCCAAAGTGAAATACTTTGTATATTTTAAGCCCACATCTTTTATCACCCATTCCATCACAAATCTATGCAATCAAGGAGAATGCCGGTTGGAGTTTGTGAAGGGTTTTTTTTATTTTGTTTTTCAGGGGTTTTGTTTTACTAGTTGCTACTTAAGGATAGAAGTGAAAGATCATGACACCATTTCCACTCCTGCAGAGTGTGTAGGGCTCTCTTTGATGCTTCTGATGTCATGTAGTCTTGTGGATCATATCAACTTTCCAATGAAAGCACAGGGATTATCTTTCTTCATTACTTTGCATTCTCTCTCACAAGAACAAACATTTCCTGCTATTCTTTCAACAGTGAAAAATAGCTGCTTGTATCACATGGAAAGCCAGTAGCCTTGTTTGTTAAACAGTTGTTTTGCTTTAAGTTGTTGGTATTTTTAAACACGTTTAAATGTTTCTCTTTCCTATAAAAATCCAATTTCCCAGGAATTTTCCAGAAAAATAGTTTTTACCTTTGCATTCCCATAATCAGTTAAAAATGTTACAATTATTTAAAGAGTTTCTTGGGCATATGTAGCTTTCTAATGAATTCTGTGTAGTATCCAAAAACTACAAGAAGAGCTAGCGTGAAAGAAGTCATTATTGGGTTATAGGATTAAGATAGGAAGGCATATGGCTCCTTTTCATACAAACTCAATACACTGAAGTCTAACCAGATGTGCTCATTGGAGAAAGACCAGAATCAGTAAACTCAGAGACATACTTTCTAAGTAATGGTCATCTCTTAGGTCTACATTTTCTTCAACAAGCTTTTCCACAGCAGAAAGCAAAGGCTGTTCAGAAACAAAAAGCCATGGAAGACACCTAATCTCTTCCCTGAGATCCACAAAACAGGACAGCATTTCCTCCTTGGTCCCTTTATTTATTTTATTTTCTCTCAACAGCCATGCACAAAATGTTGATAAAGTCGAAGGATTAATTTTATCTCCTGTTCTCACAGTTTTTAGGTACAAAGAGGCTTCCTGGAAAACTTTATGCATTTAGGAAATCTGGGCATGCTGTATTCTCAAAACAAGACAGTGTCAAGTGATATCCATCTGATTTAAGTCACACTCATCTACGGGTATAAGCCCTTCAGTAAGGAGGGTATGTAATGAATGGTGATACAGATTAGTATTTGTAAGACATACGTCGTTTAAAAGATAAATGTCCTTCCTACATAATTTTAAAGTCCATTCTATAGATTTTTAGTATGGAAGAAAACTGTTGTGCTTACTTTGAAAACAAAATGTCACCTGGGTGACAGTTATTTAACAACAGCTGCCCAGTGAAGATAACTAACCTAGCAAGCCCTAGATGAAGAGTTTGTCACAGGAAAAACAGAACCTTTCTTTGTCTCAGCAGGTCTAGAAAGCACCTTCTGTATCCCTAGGACCATGACACAGGTGAAATTAAATTATCCCACTGCTGCTTTCAAGCCCAGATGAAATTCACAGGGCTCTACAAATCCAAGAGCCCAATTACTTCATTGCACACCCCATGTTATTCTGTCGTTCCTATGCACAGTGTGTCAGCAACTTCTTGTGCAGTCAGACCTTACACAAAACTAAACACTAAACCTGCTGCTCCTACCAAAACAAGACATTACCTCCTTGGGTATGACATATGTAAGAACAAAGCAAGGCAAAAGAAGAAAGAAACCCCCTCTGCCTGATCAAACATAAATAAAATACATTTTCCTGGCACGAGGTCTTGAAGGCCTGATACTACTCAGACTGACAAATGATGCCAAGCAAGAAGTTCTGAGCTTCCACCCAAAAAGTTTCATCCATCTGTCAGGAAACGAAACATCTGAGGCCAAGCAGCACCACTTGTAGTAAGGCCAACACAAGGACAGGAATGAACTCACCTTGACATATGCCAGGTAATGCTCGCACTTTTCCTGCATATATGACAGTTGTAACTTCTCTGTGATCTGCCCTGCTGTCTCTCCAGAAGTCACAAAGTAAACTCTGGGTTGATGGTTCTTTTCCTTCTTTGCCACATCAGCAGTCAAGTTATAATTCAAACCTGTTTTAAAAAGGAAGAAGAAAACAAAGGATGTCAGTGAACAATAGTTATTTTCTAGCCACCTATCAATAGACCCTGTTGCCTCCTAGTGTGCTTGAAGAAAGGTCAACCCCTGCAAGCCCTCAATCAATCACTAAGTTTCCCGTGGCTACATAAAACCAAATCCAATTACTAATGTACTCCCACATTTTGTGTTGCTATTATTCTCAGCCCATCCTTCCTGCAGGAAATGGTAAGAATCCATCTAGATATGCACATTTAACACAAAAAAAGAAAACCCAAAACACCCAAACCAAAAAAACCACAAAAAAACCCAGAAGATGCTTAAACTATGTTGCTAACAGAAAAAGCAAAACCACACAAACAACAGCAGCAGCTTCAAGTTTGTTTTTCTTCTAAAACAACACAAACTATGCAAATGTAAACTATGATGTGGCATTTCCTGACAATTGTATTCTATGATTTGCAGTCACAGCATTTATACCTTAACTAGAGCTCGATGCCTAGCACTCAGCAGTGCCCTCTTAGATGTTACACATCCCTGGCAGTTTATAGAAGACCTATCCCAAGACTTACGAGCTGTCTCTTTGTAAATCTTGTTTCCAACACAATCAGTTGCTATGTCACTGGATGTGTCTGTGTCCAGAAGAAAACTTATTTGCTACTTGAAGTACTGTGCTGATTTTGGCTGAGATAGAGTTAATTTTCTTCACCATAGCTAGTAAGGGGCTATGCTTTAGATCTGTGCCGAAAACAGTGTTGATAACACACGGATGTTTTAGTTACTGCTGAACAGTGCTTTGCACAGTGTCAAGGCCTTTTCTGCTTCTTACATTGCTTCACCAGTGAGTAGGCTTAGGGGATCACAAGAAGTTGGGAGGGGACACAGCTGGGACATACCAAAGGGATATTCCATACCATATGACATCATGTTCAATATACAGAGTAGGGGAAAGAAGGACAAAGGTGAGGACCTTTGGAGTGACCATGTTTGTCTTCCTAAGTAACCATTATGCTTTCCTGGAGATTGCTGTACCCCTGACTGCTCATGGGAAGATGTCAATGAATTCCCTTTTTTTCTTTGTTTGTGTGCACTGGCTTTTGCTCTACCTATTGCAGAATCACAGACTATGCTGAGCTGGAAGGAAACCACAAGGATCCAGCTCTTAGCCTTGCACAGGATCACCCCCAAGAGTCACACCATGTGCCTGAGAGCATTGTCCAAATGCTTCTTGAACTCTGTCAGGCTTGGTGCTGTGACCATTTCCCTGAGTAGCCTGTTCCAGTGCCCAATCACCCTCTGGGTAAAGAACCTTTTTCTAATATCCAACCTAAACCTCTCCTGACACAACTGCATGCCAGTCTCTCGGGTCCTGTCACTGGTCACCACTGAGAAGAGATCAGAGCCTGTTCCTCTTCCTCCCCTCATGAGGAAGTTGTAGACTGTTAAAGACTGTTGTAGATGATTACTTTGTCTTCATCTCAACCCACGAACTTTCTCACTTTTAGCCTTCTTGGCACAAAAGTCTCTGTGAACACTTATAAACTCACACAATTCAAATTCGCTTCACTTCATTTGCAGTGTGTTGCATTCTGACTAAAAGCTTAGGGCATAGCAACCAGACAAACCTTAAGTGGTATGAAAAGCCATAACTGGGGAATCAGCCTAACTACCATCACAGGGCTTCACCTGAACATTTTTTTGTTTGCTTTTGGTAGAATAACTTGCTTAGAAAGATAATGTCTTGAAAATATTTCAAACTCACAAGCTCATGACCAAAAACTCTCACTAAAGTGGTGTTTACGCAGTCCTACTAAAAAGCATCACCTTATCAGAAAGACAGGGTTTAGCTTGCTTAAAATCCCAAACTTTTTTTCTTTTCTTGAGGTGTCCCACACCCATCCCCAACTGTCTCCCTTTTTATTTCAAGATCTCATATGCATATACATGCAAGCAATGCCAAGATCTGCACCAATATCACAAAATTAAAGACAAGAAAACATGTTAGCAAACCCAGGCTTTGCTACACAGAGGCAAAAAGCCCTCTGGACAGATGCAGCCCTCTTCAAAGGAGGAGGGTAAAAGGAAGAAAGGACTGCAGAGCTTGCAGGGGTGCCTAGGGAGGCTTGTAAAGTCTCCAGTGATAGCGTTACATATTAGCGACATTGAACAATTCCTCACTGCAGGCATGGAAAGGGATCCCAATGTGAGGCCTGCACCAGGCCTCTGATTAAAGATCCCAGGCACTATCCAATCAGTACGGTTCCCTGCCTCCCCTTTATTATCACAACTTGTTTCTATGTTGTATTCAATGAAGTCATATCAGTGGAAAAACTGAAATATCATGAATACTTTTTTTCGCCCTCCCCAGCTTTGTTGCTTCCAAAAAGCAAACCCAAGTGAGGAGATAACTGGCCAAACTTATCACTGCTGGTGGTTTAAGTTCCTCCTGCTCACTCCAGTAGAAGAACAGGAGGCAAGTTTTTCGCAGCAAATTAACTCTCCCAGGTACTGCCTTCAAACATTTGTCCAGCAGCTTTAAGCAAGTTTTCTCACTTTTTTCTGGGGATCTACCCACCCAACTTCATACAATCAAAATAAAACTCTGGCATGGGTTTGATGACCTCAGAAGGGCTCAATTCTTCTAATGACTATTCCTTTTCCATAACTAAAGTTAAACGTCTAAAAGCTTCGATAACAGCTCCCTCTGAGAAATTTTTGGTCATACCTGCAAGAGTACCCTACCCCCACCCAGCAGACCAGGTGAATTACTCCAGCCAGTATGAGATGCACCAAGTAAATGGCAGCAGGCATTTTACAGTGGATTTTCATCCTAAATGGCATATATGTACTCACAATGCAAGAGTCATCCTTGATGGCTGATGGCAGCCCTGAAGCAGAAAGGAGTTAGAAGAAATTAAGATCAGGCCATGGTATCCCCCAAGCTAAAACGGAAATCACAGCTGACTGCACTAATGGAGGAGTTACACACTCTAAGCCACTCAGCACATCCCATCCTCACCCACTCAGATAATGACACACCACACAAACAGCAGGAGGCAAAATGCTCAGCAGGAACAAGCACATCTGTAAGTGCTTGTTAAACTACTAGCTATAGTACCAATTTGTGGGGGGCAGCATACGAAAAAATGAAGAAATGACTAAATAATAACAAAAAGCCATCAGAAGAGGAATGTGTTTCTTTGGTGCCTCTGCCAGTAATTTCAAGGAGAAAATAATTCATGAACTTAGCTTGCAAAGAAAACTCTTTCAGTATTAAAAAAAATACCCTAGAAAATGAGAATATATATAGGATATTCCCTCCATCCTCTTCCAAAATGATTTTTTTCCCCATTACTTCAAACCTTGTTTCAAATCCTCTCTCATAGTGTTGTCCCTGGCTCTAAGTTGGGAGCCATCCTCGCTGCTCCATACACTGAACACATTCCTGCAGCATGCCTGTTTCTGAGGCACTCTGAAGGTAACATTGACTTGCCTGCATCTGAATAGACTGGAAAAATAAGAGGCAGACAGAATAAAACTCCTGCACCAAACTACAGCTGCACACAGGTAAGAAGAGGAGAGTCCACTTCCAAAAAGTTTCGGATTAGGCATTTTACTTCAGTCCTAGAAACATGTTCAAATAGAGCGAAACTGTCAAACAATCCTACACTAAATTTTGCACCAGTCTTTCAGGCAACAGTATTAGGGATGTGAGGACTACCCTAGCAACGGATCAACACACAAGCGATGCACATCTAAAATGAAAAGTATATGAGAAAGTTTGAAGCAATTTCTAACGTATCTGCCTAACTCTAGTCAAATGACCAAAACCCTTCATTTTCATAGCCATTAAAATTCACCTGTTTCTCATATTGGCAGTATTATTATTGTTGTTATTATTGTAGAGGAAATTATCCAGACTGTGGGCCAAGTTTACTTCCATTTTCCTTCAGGGACGAATGCAAAAGCAGCCCCTGATGCACAGAGATGCAGCAGTCTCTTTTCTTGTCCTGGTCACCCAGAAGTGTATGGTTTGAAGAGGCTGAAAGCTTCTCATTCAAGCTAGGAAAGGCCTGTCTCTAATCCCAGCCTTTCCTGGCAATACAGAGACCTCACAGGAGACGAAGCAATGGTCCTTTAAGTGAAAGAGGAACAGCCTGAGTGAGATTCTGAGGTGACAGAGTGACAACTTAAAATACTGTATTTCTCATACCTCCAAGACATACTGGAGGTGGTCTCTGTCAGTGGACATACAACTAGACGCTCAGCTCTCCAGCAAGCACTGAGGCAATGGCTCTTTGTCCAGACAAAAACATTTCAGCAATAAACTCATACTTCTGAAGACCATAGTCTGAAAGAAACAACTTCATGGAAATTGTACTGTCAGTGGCAGTATCAAGCAGTGTCCATAAACACAGAACCCCAGACAGCTGTTTCATGACCAGTACTATTGCAACTCCCACTAGAAAAAGAAGAAGCAAAAGAAAGATGGGGAATGTTTATATGCAAGCGTGAGGTAGTGCTAGATGAAGATGACTTTCCTTCACATGACAGTTAACAAAATAGCCACACATTCAAATCAGCATTGAAGGCACACATTTGCCACAGAAGAATGCTGCCTGCATGTTCAGCTTGACCTTCTAAACATTATGCAGTAGATGACCAATTTCAGCTGCCCAAAAGCAAGACAAATGCTGAGCTTTTCACCAGTAAGCAGTAATCTCGAGTATCCACGTTGACAAGCCCTAGGGGAGTGACTTTCCAGACAAGCACCGCATTCTCACCATCTGACTTTACAGACTGCCCCCAGACACCCAAAGATGAAATAATCCCAATCCCAACACTTTTAGCCCCAAAATTCTGGCACAGCATTTTAACACTTCCATGTGCCTTTCAGAGTCTGAACTGGACAACGATGCATTAACAGGGATATTCTAGGGGTTTTTTCCCCCCACATTTAACCACACGGGAGAGGAACCATTACAATATTTCCATTATTTGTTCCACCCTTTGTTAATTGATATTCTTCAACTGCAACATAATTAAAATGGCCTGACTGTTAGATTACTAACCAAAAGCTCATTTGAGATATTTTATCCAAATCATACCCTGAAGAGATTTTATACAGTCAGATAGTTCTGGCTGCAATGTTTTCAAGACAAATCACTTTGTTACAAGCACTGTATGAAAGGACAATGGTTGGAGGTTTTATAATAATCTACTTAATAGTAAAAAAATTTCTTGTAATGAGATGGATGTTACTCGCCAAAGAGGATGCTTATGTGCTTTCACCACAATAAATCATCAGAAGTACAGTTTGTAAGACAACACAGAGAAATTTAACCAACTCTTACAAGACATGATGAACAGGAAGATAGATCTTTTGTAAATGAGGGAAACAGATACTTAGATTGGAAAAAAAGGAAGTTCACTTCTTAGCCACAGGTCCAGAGATACGAAATTAAAGCAAAGGAAACATTTGAAACAGTACTTCAAGAACACAAGAACAGCTAGATATTCAGAAAATCTACCTGGTGATTTTCAGAGAGGAATTAACAATCCCTCAGAAATGTGTTTTCTTAATTGACAGAGTATCAGGCAGTACAAAAAATACTTTATCAAAGCATGTATTTATCTGCTTAGTGTCATCTAAGAGAAGGAAAAAGTGCAAAAATAGAAATTCAAGTCTCAGTTGCATCAGTATATTAGAATACACAGGAACCCTAAATTTGGTAATTCCACTGTTTTGAGCTGTTCAAGTGAGAGTTACAAGCTGCTTGTAGTTCTCACCCCATGTAAATGGCAGAAGAAGTAGCAAGAAGCCTTTTCTTTCTCTGACTTACTTAAAACCAAAATACTGCAGCAAGCTCTGCATACTGGGTTGCACAGATGCAACTTACCCTTCTCGACTACCTGCTCAAAAAGGCAGGGCATAGAGCAGGAGGAGGCACTGATTCCCCCAGCTCACTATCAAGACAGAGCATGCCGTGAGGCTGAGACATCTTCCCTGAACAGCACAGTGCAAGTCCTCTGCCATTCCTAAAGCATGACAAAGGTAAAACATCATGAACTAAATTAACTCAGGTCTTAAAATATTTAGAAATGCTGTATCTGTCCCATACGACTTCACACAATATCTAAGACTTGTAAACACTGGGATGTAAAAATCATAAGTAGTATTTTAATAGAGCAAAGACATAAAGGTTTGCACAATTACACGTTACACAATTCCATTCACCTCAGAAACTCCACGTGTTTAACAGAGATTAACTAAGATTGGGCTATTTACAGTCACTTTACAGACAGGTAAACTGATGCACAGAAAAGGATTTTCTCATATCTGTTTCAAGAGCTCCTGGTAGACTTTCAAAAACTATTAATCTAGAGCAAATCACCTTTCATATGCTTTCTGATAACGCTGATGGAGGATACGTATTCAGAAATGTATTATCTATCAAGAAGTAAACAGGGAATACAAACTTTGAAGGCTGTGTTCTCTATCCTTGTAGCAAGCCTAAGGACACACTTCCCTCCTTTCACTGAGGAAGAAACTGCCTCGGTATTACATCAGCCTCATCAGAAGGTAAAAATGTGCCCAATGAAGTTCTCGAGCCTCCAACTTTCTGGAATTGTATACTCCACATTCACATTGAAACTACTTATTTCCCATAAAAGGTCTGTTACTGACTACAAAGAGAGCCCTTTACTCCAGGTCAACCTGTTACTGCCCAGGGCTGGCACAGGTACCTTACCTATTTCTCCAGGAACATGCTTGCCGCTGAAGCGAAAGCATGCTGTGACATTGAGGCAGTTCACTGGCTGCAAGCCATCATGGCACTGAGGAGCTGTGATATTGATAGAGACGGGCAGGAAAATGGAGATGTCCACGGTAATGACAGGCCTGGATCTGGAGATCAACAGAAAAGTAGAATTGAGTGAGGAGATGGAAGTTCTAAGCCAAAGGAAAAGAAAGTAAATTTGGTAAACTACACAATTTCAAGCAGACAGGAAAAAAAAGAGAGTACCTTTGAGCTGTAAAATAAACTAGCACTTGACCTAGCTGGCAAGGACTACTAGCATTTAAATTAAAACAGTAATATCTGCTTGAAGTTCAGTGCTCGGATACAGACTGCAGGCAGGCAGCTAGGGAAACCAGTAATGTGTAATAATAATAATCATCATCATCTCCAGCAAAAGTTGCTGGAGGATAATAAAATTAGTAGAATAGCAAACAAGAACAACAAGTTCATGCAAATGAGACTGGTTGCTAACCATCCTGGATGGTCAGGGACAGGTAGGAAGAGACCACAGGTTTCCACAGAATGGTCTACAGTCAAATTTATGACCTCAAAGTCAAGGAGGGAGCACAGGGGAAGGAGACGGATTCATATATCATTTTTCTGACAGTATAAGAGGGACAACAAACACTACATTCGTGTTTTCTGGAGGAGAGACATTTGACTAATTCCCTCCTGGCAAGGACTGAATACTCTTCACGCTGCTGAACTGTGTTTCAGGAGTTACCCAGTGCACTGTGAACAAAAGCTTTCTACCCTTGCAACTCCAGCACCAGGTTATTGCTACCACTACTCCTGGCTGAGGGACAACTCAGCAAGAATTACAGAGCAAGCTGAGTCCCTTAAGGCCCAGGTGTGTCTTGTTAAGGAAACTTCCCTGTCTGACCATTCAGGAGGCACTCACCCAGTCACAATCACACCACTAGAGACTTTAACTGGTGGGACCAAAGCCCTTTTGCAGTGGCTCCAGAGAGCTGACAGGTGCCCCACTTGATTCCCTACACACACCACTCTCACATAGTCAGACCAGGTTTCCCATAGTTCCATAAAGCCATTTATTCACAGCAAAGTAACACAGAAACAGCTCAAGGGGGTGCCTCTGAGGAGGGATCCAGAACAAAGGACCCCCTGGGCTTTTTTACCCTCACACTCCAAGCAAGTCTTCACTCTTCCTTGCTCTTCCTCCTGAGTCCTTGGCTCCTGCTGTGTCTCCCAGTGTCTGGTCACCTGGCTGTGCCACAGGTCCCCATGGCTTTTCTTATGCAAAAAGTCAACGGTTCACAGCCTCCTGCTTCAGGCTCCCACCATCCAAAGCTCAATTTGCAGCTCACACTGCAGCTGCACCTGAGATACCTATACTGAATGTATTCCTCAACAGTTTCCTCTTTCACACAACACAGAAGATCCAGCAGCCCAGAAAACCAGACTCTTCTGAATCATCTCCAGCCCAGGACTTCAGCCCAAAAATTCAGTGTTATTCTTCTTGGTTTCAATTCTGTACATGATCAACATGAACATGTTCTTCCAAAACCAACTACAATAGTGAAAAAAATGTGCAGCAACCAGCAGATTCAGTTCCAGAGTAGTCTCAACAGCCATGCAAGGCCAGAGCTTGTAAACTACTTCAGGACGATCACTCCACAAGCCACTTAATTGAGAGGTAGGGGAGAGGAAGGAGAAGAGAGCAGGAACTGTGGTTACACCTAATTTATACCAACTGGAACAAGATTCACATAATCTCTAAGACAGCTGCTCAGACTCTTTTACCACAGCCTGAAACAACAGTGCAAGTTCACATTTTGAGATGGAGGATGAAGATAAATGCTACCCCTAGAAATATATGCGGTGGGGGGGAAGGAGGAAAAAGAATGAGCAATCATTTCACACCTTCGAAGAAACACTCTTTCTGAATGCTTAAGGAGACATAAAAGAGTAAGTGCTATAGTTGATCTAGAAAAATATTTCTCCAGCTATGATACACTGTGTGATTTTTCCTTAGTGTCATCTCACTTGGTTATTCACTGGGGAAAAAAACCCAGTGCATCTGTCAAAGGACCATACACGTGAGCAATACAATGCTGACGATCTGCCTCAAGTCACCAAAGGCTTCCACCAAAGCCTTTAAATATCATTTGGCAAAAGATTTGTTGGTTTTGGCTAAGGGACTTCACAAAAGTGGGAGGGGTAAGAGGAGAAGGAGAAGAAAAAGCTGATTTCTTTATCCTAATCTGAATCTTAACAGCAAGTGGGACACACTTGAAACTGGCAGTAGCAACACTTAATCAGGCTGCCCACAAAGTCAGTCAGCAATACACTAATTTCCTCGGAAATGCACAAGTATGACTGAAAACACGGACAGATGTCATCATGCTGTTGTGATGCATGTGGTTTTAAACATCACAGTATGCCTTTCAGTTTGTCTTCCCCCCTCTGCAAGTAACATCAATGCAGGAGAAAAACGCAGTTTTCTTTTCAGCACCTTCAGAGATATGGGGCTGCAAATTCCCACCTGAGGCATGGCACACTTTTTCACAGAAGCAGTAATTAGCTTCCTATATGTGCATGATGAAGGAACAGAAAACTCTTCAGAAGACTTGCCCACCTGCCATGCTGATCATCAAGGGTATTTCTTCCCCCTCCTTTCCTTTTTTTCTTTTTCTTTTGTGTAACTGATTCCAAGGGAAACAGAGCCAAGTTTTTCCTGCCTTGAACAGGAAGGAAGCTGGCACATCTGTTCTGCAGTTCCAGCATTTGTCTTACCAGTGTCACCACATCCCTGTATCTTCCATTAAGATGCCAGAGTTCCTAGTAATGATTTCTATTCCTAATGACATCTAAGTATTGAAAGGATTTTTTTTATTAAATATTAACAAGTGTAACAACAGACCTACTGGCAAAAAAACCTGCATAATTTGGTAAACCAAGCTGTCCCACCTCTTTCTATCAGATGGAACAAGCAATTGCACTTAACTCATAAACTTGAAACAGCAGTCCAACTCCTGTGTGCATTGAAAATGTATCTGTATTTCATTTCCCTGAAGACTCTTATTTCATTCTGCATCCCATTATAACTTGCAAAATTACATCCTGGCATCATACACAGGTCATTTTTTGCTCAACTGCATTCCCTTAAATCACAATTTATCTACTTTATATAAACATAAGAATAATGAAGAAGCCTCCTCACAAGTTGGGAGCAACCTTTCTAAAGAGGCACTGAGATGCAACATATCTCCTTCTGGCTCCAACCCTTTTTCTTCATAGCCCCGGGTGTCCTATGTATTGTCACCCCTGACTCTGCTGTTTAAATTAGACTGTGCATTCTTTGACATCATTCATGTCTAAGGTTTTGCTTAAACAGTAACCTAGTTTGCTTCTTCTGGCCACAACAAACTAGGGAGGAAACTCGAGTGGTTAATCGGTTGGGCTTAAGACCACATAAGACATAAACAGAAAGCAAAGAAAAAGAAGACAACGATGAGTGAAAAATACAGTCATCTCACCTCAGAAGTACCACATTGTCTGACAAGAAGGCTCCAACAGTCATATCTGAAATTTTTGTAACATTGAGACAGTTATAAAGGAGGCACAGAATTCAGTTCTTTCAAATCAGTTGCCAGACTACAGAGCATGTTTTTCTGATTTAGCCAGTTTGCCCCTTCGAATACCATTATATCATATGTATTATAACTGGAGGATTAGGTCTGTGATGTTACTTCACCTCTGCTTCGTTGTTTGATTTTTATTAACATTACTATATTATTGTCTACTTTTTGGGTTATTTTAAGACTGCCATCCTGACTGAGCAGTTTCAAGAAACTTACAACCTTGGTTAGATACTGAATCTTCAATTGCTGTAACTGCCAAAATACCTGAATTAAGTAATCGCCTAGAATTTTTATCAGGAGCTTGTAGTTGCATAAGAGAAAGGGAAAAAGCAGCTCAGCTTCATTGACCATCTGCAATGGCAGGGACCAGCAACCTGGAAACAACCTAGCTCTGCTATTTTCTAGGCCTACTGCTGTATTTTCCCCATGCTCCTGCTGCCAGAGTAGCATACGTACCTGGATAACCATTGCTATCCATATCAACTCCCCCTGATATGGACTGGCCAAACATACGCAGCTTTGGGTTTATTGTTTGCCCAGACAGCTTCTGTAGCGGAAATAACACAAGTGAAATCAGTCAGTAACACACAGAATCCTCTAAAAAAACCCGCCAAACAAAAGAAAATCTTCAAGCAGCATGATTTTCATGGTCATTCGGGCTCTTCTCCATGGGCTGGAAGTGCTGCACACCTGCAGTCTCACACTTCACTGATGCAGCCCTGAACAGGAAGGCTGTCAACTGCAGGAAGTCCTTCTGCTCTGGGCTAGTAGGAGGCCAGCATTGACTTGGATTAAAAAACACACCTGCATAACAATCCTCATGCAGACCCAAGCAAAATAAAGAACACATCAAACAGATTTCTGCAGAGGGAGAAAATTTACCTGCACTCAAGAGATTAATTTTTTGGTTTTTTGGGTTTTTTTGCATTACCTTAGTTTCTCTGAATAGAAGTTTCAAGAAGCATCTTAACAAAATTAACGATTAATTGAAACAGAAAATTCCACACAACCATTTCTTTTCACGAAGGTTGCCAGCACACTCAAAGTCAAAATTATTAATTTTCATCCCACTTGCAAATTCCAGTTGCCATCAGATATTATGGAGTATTTTCTGTCAGTTTGGAAGTTGTATCTCATTTCTGCCTCCCCAACTTCTAACATAGTTTTGTTTTCTAATTACTAACACAAAAACTTTCTCTAAATTCTTTGCACTATAAATGCCTTTGTCTGAAGAAAATTAATATATCAAAATTTCCTTTTCTAAGAATGCAATCAGAACTCTCTCAGCTTTCATTCATTATGCTGGGCCAGCAATGCAAGACCTGAACTCAAATCAACTTCTGATTGCAGAAGTTACAGACAGAGGAAACCTGTCCCACGAAGTAATTTCGAAGCTGTTGGTGGTGCTTCACAGCTTGTGACATGCAACCAACTTTTCCCGGCCCTCCCATAAAAGACTGTAATATTGGACAAAAAGTCAGGTAGGAAATTTATGGAAAAAATATAAGTTGAAGGGAAGAAAGATATCCTGACAGTTAGTATAATGGGAAACCAGTGATCCTACTCATGGGTAGATAACACTGACAACTGGAATACCTACATTACACTTGCTTCGCATTTTTAGGGGTCCCAGTTAGGGTGGTTAAATCCCACCTGCAAACACTTCAGAAGACATCTGTGGCTCTTACAGCCTAGAAGGCAAAGGTATAATGCTTTTAACGACCATGAATGAAAACAGCAGGGCATAAAGCCAATTAAGCTGCTTCTGCTAATAGCAGCCACTGAAGCTGCTGAAGGTACAAAGAACTACATGGATCAGCAATTTAAATGAAGACAACTGGGAAAGCGAAAGGCAGGACTGGGAGGGAAGAGCTAACAAAATGAAAAGGGTGAAGATATACACCCTGCAGGGTCCCCTCCCTCCACCTCTCACAGCTTATTTAAAAAAGGAAATCCACAGCATTGAGATGGATCAGCAATATAGTAATAAGATACAAAAAGTCTTTCACCTCTGGGTTCAAATTCAGGACAGGTAGGCAGAGAGCTGAAGCTGTTACACAGTTCTGGTTGCATGCAGGATGTGAACTGGTGGTCTGCCCAGTGCCCTGCAGCAGACACTGGGAAATCACTTGCACAGAGATACTGCCTGTAAGTGGTGCCCTCTTGGCTGCCTCAGGACATGGAACAACCATAGCAATGGTATCAAGGGTCAACAACTGTACCCTGCCACCCTCTCGAGCTGGGTGTTTTCCCACTGACCAAATGGAGACGCATGTGCTGTCTGATGGCCTTGTTCCAGTGGGGAGGGAGAGATCACAAACAGGATGTTTTGCTTCCCACCCTGATGATCTGTCCTCCTTAAAAAATGTAACATTTTCCCATGAATGACCAAAAAAAACCCAATCCTTTTCAGCAAGAGCTTGAAAGCTCTAAGATTTTCAACAGCCAGAGAAGAACCTCCCAAACAGTGACTCTTGACAAAAAATGGGCAGAATCTACCACATGCCACACATTAAGAATACTTCTAAAATGTACTAAAGAGTCACTTCACTTCCTTTTTTTCTTAAAAGCAGTGCATGCCACATACATGGTAAAAGGAAGAAGGACTAAACTTTTATGGTCTGTTAAAAGAACCTCCAATACAACCACTAAACTCTTTAATTCTGCTTAAATTTATTTACTGTGAAGGATCCCACCCAGCAACAAAACAAAACAACTAGAACTTCAAACACACAGAGGGAGGGAAGATTCAGGCTCTCTGAACAAAGAAATGTGCTAGAGAGAGACTAGCGGACACATGTTGGGCGGCATGAGTATAAATTTATCATCTCTATTGCCTGGCTACAGCAGCTAAATTGTATTATGTCATCCCTGCACAAGATGGTATAGCATATCCCAGACAAGGTCTGACTTCATAATATGGGAGTCAGGGGAACGGCTCCCAAGAAAGGCCTTGTGATATACTGTCAGAATGCAAGAAGGTCAACAAGGTGGGTAAAGAGGCTTCTGTAAGGCACAAAAGAACTCTTAGTATCTCTTCCTTCTCACAAAGTCTGCTTCTACAGGAAGAAAGTGCAACCCCACAACTCCCCATGGGCTTCTCCATAATTTCTATGCTTAACCTCTCCAGGGTTTCCATTTCTCCTCTGCATCGGTACTATCTCTAAAAACTGACACTCAGTCCCTAAGACTTTGCTTCAAGAAGATACAGCTGACAGCTATAACAAAAGAGAGTGAAAAATACCTCCTGACTGACATAATTTTACCCTTCAGCATAGATAAAGACAAACTCTGGGAGAAGCCACCTTCAAATCAAGACTGAGAAAAGGATGCTGAGTGATGACAAGGAACTTAGGAACTCCTAAGTATGGTTTATTTCTGCAGGCCTTGGGAAAGTGACTTCAGAAAGGTATCATAAATGGTAGTGTCACATACCATAGAGTACTGAGGTATAATACCATTGGAATCCCCATGGTAAATGTACACTGCTCCTACGTAGTTATCCTCCTTAGGTGCTCCAATGGCAACATCTGTAAAACAGTACAGATTATAAACATTTCACAGTCCATCCCACTAATCCAACTTTTTCCCAGTTTTAGAATGCAGCTATCCATAGCAAAACAGTTCCCCATGACAAAGATGATCAGCAGCTCATGTGAACCTACATAGAAGGAATTTGTTTGATTTAGTTAAGAGCTCATGTTAAGATAAACTTAAAAACCACAGAAACATATATGAATTTGTACATGCATGTGGCTATGTTTCACAGAATCAGATTAATTAGAAACATGTGCTGTTATGAAAATGTGTGTTTATTAACAGCAACCATACTCAAAAAGTTAATTTAGAAACCTTTCACGACAAAATCTCCAACCCATGGGAACATCAGCTTTGTGAACTAGGACAAGAGTGGCAAAATATTTACTGCAGCACTACATTAAGGCTGGTTGAAAATCCAAGGCTTCACAAAGAGGCTGGATATATTAAATGGATAGGCAAGAAGAGAAAAAGGCTGCTGAGGGTCCACTTTCAAAGTACATTTGATCCAATTAAACTGCAAACTCTTGTAGAAAGCATGATCCCACCTCCTGTTCTTCACTTCTAGTTGGATCTAGTGACTGTGTGGCTACTAAAATTAAGCTTTTCTCAACTGCTTCATACCCATGAACTGATTCAACTCCCTCTGCAGTCTCACCATTACAACTGACCTACAAGTAGCAGCAAGAACACACAAACGCATGTCCAAATAGAGAGGAACAGCATGTCCACCATTGGTGAGGGCAACTTGCAACAGGGCTGAGTTAGGCTTAATGGGATACTGTGCCCTGAGTGGCCTGAAAGAAATAAATCCAGGCATACACTGACTAAGTTGGCCTTTGTTTAGAAGTCCTTAATCTGCTCTGCCAGAAACCAGGGCAGAAAAGGTGCCAGCATCAAAACTTTGCACTCGCCTATTGCTATCACAGCATGGGCCTCATGCTGAGAGGCCTCAGAAAGGAGTACAGGGAGAACAAAGAAGAGGAGAGAAATTAATAGAGTACATTCTATCAGGAGCGAGAAGCTACTTCTTAATTACACTACATGATAAGAAATGAGACTATGTCAACAAAACCAGAAAGGCTTGAAAACATAAGGAAATGGGAAAGAAAAAAGAAGTCAGACAGGTTTCTGTTTTCTCTGGGCTGTGGGTATCTTAAGCCTTTTATAAACCACATAGGAAAAGAAGAAAATACAACAGCATGGAAAGCAAAGCAATTAATGAGATTGAGGTGTGACCTGCATAGACATGGACTAAACTGACATCAAGAACAGTCACCTACAAAAGGCTTTAGCACACAAATCCTACATAAGCACATTCATTTATCCTTAGTTTGAACCCAGGTGCTGGTCAGATCTGGAGGAGCAATGGATGCCACGCAGCACCGAGTCATGCAAGACTGACGGTGCTGCATGGCACAGCTTTGCTGGCACTGACAGAGAAATGGCCATGAAGGAAATTACACTGACCTGGGAAGCCATCGTCATCAATGTCACCAAGGGTGGCTATGGTCTCCCCAAAGTGTGCATTATAAGCGTTGTCACCATCCAGGATGAGCTGCTCTTCCAGCACTCCCTAGCAAGCAAGAAATAAAACAGGGTCAGGGAAACGGTGCAATTCCCGGGCGAGGTAAGCCTTCCCCATGCAAGATGCCCTTGTGCTGTGGGAAGTACCTGGGGCAGAGCTGCAGCCTGCCTCCCTCCTGCATTGTACTCAGGTTACCTGGGGTCTAGAAATCTAATTTATTTGGGTTTTAAACCTTCTGGGGTTTAGTTTTCAAGGGGACAGGGGAGAAAGGCAGAAAGAGTCCATGGCTGATATAACTAAAATGCTAAATTAACTAAACAGTAACTCAGAGATGTAACTAAATGCAGTCACAGGGATTGGTGAACCCATGAAAGTTTCCAGATGCCTAAAACATAACAGCCCAGAGCTTGCTACTGGAAGATTACATCTGAGGAGTGAAATCCTCAGTCCAGACTTATTCAGCTAAACTCAGTGAGTTAAGGAGTATTTTCCCTTAAGCAAAGAACATTTGACAGTTGAATTTGAAAACATTTTGAGTATGGGACAAAAGGATTAAAGCAAAGTCCTCAAAAGGCCTTCTGAAATTAAGAATAAGGAAAGAGATTTAATGAAATAAAGAGACAGAGAAAAGTTCAGAATTAAGTAGTTTTGTACTCCTATGCCATGAGAAGCCTTATATGGCTCTGGTATTTCTTGCCCACCCACCTTCTGGTCAGATACATAAGCTTTAGCTTCTTGAGTCTTCTCTCAAGGGGAAAGGAATATTTCCACAAGAAAACAAAATTTAGTTACATAATCCAAGTCTGTACCCACCTCAAGGTTGTTTTGTTTTGGTTTTGCTTCCTTTGTGAATAAGAATAAACTACCCTCTGGAACATGTAATAAAATCTTTTACTTGGCTATGGGGAGTTGCTGACTTCAAGAAAATCCCACATAATGAAAATAAAACACAACAGAGAGGAGACAGGCAGGCCTGTATGTGCAACTAAATTCTTTGCAGTCCTCACAGGAAAGGGCAAAATATTTTAAAAGTAACATCACCGTGCATGCTTGTTTTACAATGCAGTTTTTTCTGATCCTCTGCAACAACCTGTTAAGTAATGGTGATTGCAGAATTAAAAAAGTTTCAAATGTCCAAAACCCAAAATAAAATCCACAATCCTGCAAACCATTGCTCATGCAAGTAATTCTTGGTGCAGGAGTATAAGAAACTCATACTAGCTTCTTGACTATTCTATAGAAGATAAAAATTAATTCGTGTATGCTCTCACTGTGAGCAGGAAATGTTGGCTATTATCTTTTTGGCATTCTGGACCCAATCCTGAGGACCCAGCAGCAACACTGCAACATAAAAGGTGGAACCTCCCATGGATAAAACTGAAAAAGTAAAGCTTGTTTAAAGGAGTGATAATAGAAAATAAAATTACACCAAAAGCATCTGTAGTCTCCTAAACGCTTGGACTTCTGGTGAATTTTAAGTCTAGCATAAACAAACTTAAAGTTCACAAAACGCTGATGAAGCCAAACAATTTAATTTTAGTCCATAACAACTTCTCCTTTGAGACAGCAGCTTTGGGACCTGAATATTAAGTATTTAATAGTATATTAAAAACCATTGTTTTCCTCTACATACAACTTATCAATGGTCTTGGTTTGCCAATGCAAGAAAGTTCAGACTTTTCCAAGATTGTTGATAGGTCAGGTGAAATCCACTGGTACCAGCTGGTAAGAACTTCCCCTGAAGTTTAAATATGGGCCATAATACACAAGTAAAATGAATTCAATCTCTGGTTTCTCTTCCTCGATCTCCAGACACTTGTGTCTAAATTGTGTTCTAGGTCTTAGTGACAACCTAAAACACAAAGGAAACTCAGTCAAAGCTACTGACTCTGAATTGGTTTGGGCAGCAATTTCACAAAAAGTCACAAATGTCACCAAGTTTCAACATAAAACCAGACACTTTCTCAGACCTCCTTGAAAGATTCACAGATCTGTGATGAATGTGGGCCAGTGTCTGGGAAACCATACCAGATGAGTCTTCCTGCAACTTCATACTCTGCCAGAGACATTCAGAGCCCCATTTATTTGAGACATCGAGTTTCACTGTGCAGTGCTGGAACAATACAAGCGTTACCTTGCCCGAGATCCATGCCCTCATCCCTTACCAAGTCATCTCCTGTACATACTCACGTTTCCTCTGTTGATATAGACTGTGACTTGACCCTCATCTCTGATCTCAGAAAACATAGGTGCTCCAACCAGCAGGTCTGACAACCCATCAGAATTCAGATCAACTGCACATAAGGAGGAGCCAAAGTAAGAGCCCATCTGTAACCAAGTTGAGTCACAACAAAGCATTCAGTATCTGCCCACACTCAGGAGGAAATCATATAGGCGTGGCTTTTGTTTGTTTTGGTTATTCTTTTAATTTCACATGATGACTTGCTGCTTTATCACTCACAAGCACTCCTACAGAGAAAGCTTTGGGAATAATTCTGGCAGGAATTAAAACACTTTACTATAACAGTGCATCCTGGATGTTCTACAAACAGAAGTTATAACCTGGGTCATGCTTAAGTGAGACACTTAAAGAGCTTTCTCAGACTAGCTTTCTCTTGTCAAATGCTTAAAACTAGGAAGGGGTGAAATGAGTTTCCCAAACCAGACACAGACAGTGATTATTCACGCCCAGTGCCACAGATGTTCTGTGAATATCTTAAAGAAATAACAAAAGGAAACAAGAAAAGTAGGCAAGAGGCAGGGTATCCATGAAAACAGGTATCTAAAATTGACTCTTGATTGTGGACTATCTTTCCTTGTTCTAGTTGTATGTATTTGTATCAGTCACCATCAAAGAATACTAGTTGTGGGCCTTGATCATAACCTTTCCTCTCATGTACAGGCAGGTGAGTTGATACAGAAACAAGACTTTCAATAAAAGCTTTTCAGCTGATACACAACAAACCTAAGCCACTTTTAATCTCCACTTATTATTGCTTGATAAACTAAAGTGCTTAAAATTAGGAAATAAATTAATTTCATTCCATGTTTTTTTTATATGGGTGAACATTTATTGCTAACCTTCTCCTAACCAGCATCCACATTACAAATTTCAAAAAACATTAAACGCAAGAAGGAAATCAAAAGCAAGAATGATATTTCACCCTTGTTTCATCCACTCCTGCCCAAGTAACACAAGGCATACTCTTTGAAACCAACTACAAACCATAGTCTCAAAATTAAAAGCAGCTTCCACAGGAAAATGGGAAAGATACCACTTCTTACTTGAAATTGAGAGCTATTTATCAAGCAGGAAACACTGAGGTTAAAGAAATCATTATTTAGGTTCAAAAAAACGAACCACATTTCTTGAATGCTTTTACATTCCTCACTGCAGATCTCTGACCTACTGCCTTCCATACCTCTAAGTTTACATGCATGAGCCACAGCTATTGGGTATGCCAGAAGATGGGCAGCAGCAACTCTATTCTATGCAGTCCGTAAGATTTAAAAGTTGCTAAATATATCAGGCGGGGGTGAGTGAAGGACAGCCTTTCGGTTTGTTAATTCAGATTTTTGTGCTTGTGTGGGTCTAAGGTCAGACCTCAAACATCATTTGAATCCAGTTATTTTGTAGCAGAGGTTCCCTTGGGGATTTGTATTTGTTTATTTTTTTAATCCACTAAGGTTTTTAAAGAAATTTCTCATGGGTAAAGAACAAAAGTTATGAAAAGCATTTCACTATGAATTCAGGCAGTTTTCAGTGAAAGGATATTATTTACTTAACTGCAACATGGTATGTCTGCAGCATGGGTGAGTTCACAGTGCTGTAAGAACCTGAAGTTTGCATATTTAACATTTGTAACAAGGTCTTGCATTTTCTTTTTTCCTGTCTCCATTAGATTTCCTAGTTTAGCCTCTATCAATAAAAAAGGAAGAAAAAAACTGGCTCGCTTTTAACGTATGTCTAACAAGATCGTCAGAATAATGAATTTCACACCACTGGGAAGGATGTAGCATTTTGTGACAGCCCATTTACAGGCAGTGCTCATTGCTGAGCAGGCCAACCCCAAAAAACAAACAAACAAACAACAAAAAAGGTGATTCAGCACAGCCTTCTCTTTAAAATAAAATTCTCATTTGGATTTTAGAGAATTTGTAGAAGAAGATGCTAATGGGGATGAAGGAGATGACAGCCTAGAAGTACTTGAAGGATGTAAATACTTGATTAGTTAAGTTATATATAAGAGTAAAACAATTAAATTGAAAAGGGAAAGTTTTTGGCTGAAACCTCAAAACTTCCTGATAGCTCTATTTACTAGGCTGAGGAATAGCCAGAAGTACATCCTTAGGAACATTTAAAACTCAACAGGGAAAGAAATGAACAGGATGCAACCAAACACACCAGATGCCCTAGAAGAACTGGGAGGTCTTTTCCTTTCAAGACGTCTGTAATTCTGCTAGTGTGGTAAAGTAAAATTTTGGAGAAGCCCTAAAATACAAGTAACACCACCCACCTACACATCCTTGCGGTTTTCCCCTATTCCAGGCAAGTTTTTAAAGACTGCAACTGTGTCTTGCTGGGAAAAAATAACAAAATATGATAACACTCCCAACTTTGGGTATTTCTAAGGGTGGTAGGTCTTCCTAGAGCCAGAAGCCACCAGTAATCTTTTTCTTCTGTACTTCCCCTCCTTCCATAAGAACACAGACAACCCCAGATAAGGGGTATCATTTCCTCACTGAGTTACTCCCAAATAAGACAGTTTTTGTTGTTACCTATAGCTAGACATACTGTCCACTTTGTTTCCCCTACAACACAGCACCAGCAAGCCCCCAGATGAAGAACACAAGCTGTTCCCCATTCAAATACAACACCACACTGGGGGAGCTGGATCTCACTAGCATGCACTAAATTTCATGGAGAGGGAGGGTAGTTCAGCTTTAAGACAGCAGTCCTGAGAGCAGAATGCAGGACTGATTCCTGATTCATGGTGGAGACAGTGGAGCCGCTCCTCCACAAAATACCATAACTGTCGTATCCCTTCTGTCACAGCAGGACACAGAAAAAGAGGTTGGGGTTTTGTGTATTAAACTAAACTCCAAGTTACCAGCATCTCTCAAAAACTACTAATCTACTAAGAGGAAATCTCTGCATCTCTGCTCACCTGGAGCCCCATGTCCCACGTCTCAGAGTTAAATAAGACTAAAGAGAATCGCTATTACACTTTCAAGTAAGACCTTCTAATTCAGTCATGGGCATTGAGCAGACACTGCAGTCCTGACTACTACTGAAGAAAGGGCATACAGCTGACTTGTACAATAGCTTCAGCTGTTCTGGGAGGATAAGAAGAAATAGGATTTGCTTGACAACTTTTGAAGGACTGAAATGAAAATGATGCTCTGCGATGACTCTGCTGTTATTTCCCCCCTCTACCTCGTAACAGAAAATACACATATATAAATGCTCACCTTTTTTCCTGAAGCCTGAAAAATCTTTATTAGAGAGCCTGATCGTCTGTCTGTTCTAAAAATATAAACCTGAAAGGTGAAAAAAGAAAAATGTTAACCAATACTAATTATGAAGTACATAATGGTACAGCACTGGTGTTTTCTAAATAATATCTAAATTATGATCATGGCCATGGCTATTGCCAAGATCCAACTTCACAACCACTTTATTTTTTAGTCTTCTTTTAAAAGATGAAACAGAGTTCCCCATTGTGCTCATGAATCACAAGCTTCTTCTCATAACAAATGCTTGAATATTATCTTGTTGCCTACTTTTTTTCATATGCATGTGGGTATGTGCACATGTGTGCATTTAAAAGCACCTAGCAAAGCAACTTTCTAACTCTCAAACAAGTGGCATCTGCATACTGTCTGGAAATGAGCAGGGTAAAAAACTGAGAAGGTATAACCCTGCTCCCATTCCCTTATCTAGCATTCCCTTCTCAAGGCCATGTGCCTGCATTACTGCACTGCAAACTTTGCGAGGCTTTAGCAAAGGTCAGAGAAGAAATCCCAATCAGACTACCCAAGGCACTTCCACTGCTTGTATCTGAAACAACCTGTAAATTAGAAAACTGTTCAAACATAGCCTACTCATTCCTCGTTTGCACAGGAGAAACTGTTTAATCAGGAACCCTTGGGGATGAAAGTGTTAATACAAGCTCAAGAACAGATCTTGTACCAAAATTTAGGATGTAAAATGCATGGCTTGTAGAAGGGGATTCTCTTCATCATAAAGGTTGGCTAAATCAGCATTTGAGATTCCTTCAGCATTTGACAGGCTCTCTCCGAGTAGGTGCTCACAGAGTTTGCAGGACAGAGGATCCCTTACTTCCAAGGCTACATGGTGGAGCCAAGCACTTGACCTTGTTGAACATGTGGTGAGTTACTAATAGGTGGTGAGACAGTTCAAAGCTGTTTCCAGCAAAGAACACAGCACAGATTTACTGGACAATCACTCTCTATATAAGCAACTCCTAGCATTTGCAGTGGCAAGTTTAGCGGTGACAGCACATTGCCAACTGTCACAGCTCCAAGCCCAGTCTTAATAATGATACTTTTGGTAACTTCAGAGAAATGACAAAGTCTCATTAAGAATCCTGGCTCTACTTTCAGTGAAAAAGTGTAACAATGCTAATCACTTTCTATCAAGGAAGTGGAAAGGATTAGCTTTTTAGAGGGTGTGGAAAGCACAACAGGACTGCTCATTGTAATGTTCTGTACTCAGCACTGCTTACCGTCACTTTGCCATTTGTTCCTGCTACCTGCATCCCATGCTGAGGGAGAATAATGTGAACTTTTGCAACTAGAGCAGTAGTCTGTAAACTGCAAGGCCAGTTGCTTTTTCATGGATCTCATGTTAGCAGCTGGGTTTTTTTTCGTCTCTCCTAATACAGAAATTAAATTTGTTCCACAGAGAAAACAGGTTGGAAGAAGGTGCATTGCAGCAGCCATAACAGAACTCCTGGGATAAGGAAACTATGTCTTTCTCATGCATGTCCTCTCAGTAACAACTGCAATGCTGCTATATCCTGTATGTCCTAGTCACGCCAGATCAGGTATACATACCAAGTTCATCCTCTAATTTTATCCCATTTTCCCCACTCGCACTGCTACCCCCAGGACATGGTTACCATGAAAAACAATCTGCCTAAATAGAATATTGTTTCTGGTATTGAAGATGGTACTGAAGACCTCTCGCTCCTTGTTATGATTCAGGTACAACTCATGTGACTACAGAGCAGGAGAGCCAGAGGGAGGAAGATGGAAGGGGGCTGCAGGACATCTCTGCTCAAGCAAATGGTGGTAGCAGGTCCTGAAAGGATTGGATTTTGAACAAAGAGGGGAAAAAAGCAGATCCTTTACATCCCTTCCCTCCCTCTCCTCACTCCCACTTTTCTACCTGCAGTTTAGAAGAGTTTAAGGGGTCACAGTGCTCACTCTCACCCAGTTTCCCCAATAGCAGCTCAGCATAGGAACACCAGGCATGCCTAACTCACCAGCCACTTCCAACTAGCCTTACACTTGCTTTCATCTTTGGGACATTGAACATATATATGCCTACAGGAAAACCTTTTTTGTTTCTTTCCTTCTTAAGAGACTATCTCCAAGATTTCTAAGTACAGCTGGCAAAAACCTAGATTCTAATCCACGAAACCTCAGTGTATTATGAAGTTTTAAAAATGACATCAACTAAGTACCTAATAAGTACCTTTTCATGCTATTAGATGTTACCTTGAAGTAAATACTGAAACAGTCAAATGTATGAAGAAAACAAGCAGAAGACAAACTCTCTTTTCAAAGTTTTTTCATTTCTAGGAAAGCTTCAAGTCATACCTAAATGTCACAAATCCTAAACAAACGCAGTATGAAAGAAACATTGTCTGTGTCTCACTAAAATGGGTATTGTAAGGATTGGATGGGAAAGAGAGGAGAGAGGGGTGAGGGATTTGAGGCACCAGGAGGGACAGGTAAAGAAAATTTCAGGACTCCATCAAACTACCTCACCTCTCCCCTGCTCAGTGCTGCAAAATTACTATGTAGAAAAAAAACTCTCGGCTTCTCATACATATTGAAACTGCATCAGTATTACGTTTTTTGCCCTGTTGAATCTGACCACATTATTGTTTGATAAAGAGACACACCTTTCCAATGCCTCCATCCTGGGGAGCTCCTCCTACAATGTCAGTGGTAGTTGGCTGAGAGAAATGACCTGCTGTCACTGCATATCCTGAGTGGGAGAGGAAATAAAAAATTAATAAATAACCATGAAAGGAAAGAGCCAGAGAAACAGGTCAGCCAGCTGGATCATGCTTATCGGGCTGCACATAGTGTTCAACAACTATTCTGCTCAGGATGCACCAATACTTTGCTCAAAAGCTCATGGGGATGGGAAGAGACAGTACACCCTCCAGTGCTCTTGCAAAAGCTGAGAAGAAAGCTGTGTGTGAAGATGAGCAAAGGACATGTGGAGCTGGTAGTGGGATCAGTTTGCCAACAGCGAGTCAATAGAGGGAAGCAGTAAAACAGGAACAAGCACACCCAGAGAAAGGAGACCACATCACCGCAGGGAAAATATCATGTCAAAGAGCAACAGTCCCACAAGGACCAGAGAGAATTGACCTCCTTTGCCTAAAATCACTGTCCAGGAAGGCTTGGAAAATTATGTTCCTTTTTGATAGGGGGAAGAGCAGAGGACAGGAGGCAAAGAGGCCAGCGAAGTTAATGGCTTTAAAAGATTTTTGTCTAGGCAAGAAGAAAAATGGGAGATCAAAGAAAAAAGAATGTATTTGAAAGAAGATCAAAGATTCAGCTTCATTTGATATATCAAAAAAATATATAATAACATAATATATAAAGATGAGTAGAGCAGTTTTCCTTCTAAGGCTCTCTTGTATTTGCCTTGCTCTTCTGCCATAAATTGTGACGCTCTTGTGGTAAAATTTATGGCAAAATCAGTGGCAAAATCTATTTATGTCTGCAAATAGGTAAACAGACATCCTTCATTAGTAGTACCTTCCAAGTGGTATTTTTTCAAAGACTAAAGGTTAAGGGGAAAATGGAAGGTCAGTGCCAGACTTTAGTCAAACAGTATCAAACTGTTTGTAAACAGTATCACTGTTTGAAATGCCTTCTAAGTCTCAACAGTCTTAGGCACTGCAGATTAGGCAGAAATCTTTAAATTAAGTATTTTAGGGACATTATCTGGTTTCAGAGCAAGTAAAACCAATTGAGTTAATGATGTACCTATAGCCAAACCTTTCACAACTTCATTTTGTTGACAATGACACATTTAGTGTTATTTTTGTTGAAATAAATTTGTATCTGGAATACACATTCTGTAATTAGTCCATTTTAAAGGCATGTGTAAGCAGAAAGGCAGTTTATCTAATGACACATAATTTACCTGTCACAGGGCAAAGGTGGAAAGGTTAAGAAGCCCACTACAATCCAACATGCTGTTGAGTTCAAAAGCCTTTTCTATATCAGTCAAAAAGCTACAGCAAAGCTGGGTTTTTTTTAAAACAAGGAAAGAAAAATGTAAAATTCCATAGGCTTCTTTGCTTATATTTCTTTCCAGACAAGTAACACTTTGTCATAGTTTGAAATTGGCCCCCCCTTGAGAGCTGGGGGCTCAGAGGTGATTGGGTGCCAGGACAGTGTTCCCTGGAGAGCCAATCACCCTCCACGTTGTTCGCTTCTGCTGAAAAATCATATATACACAGCCACCTGAAGCTGCTGGTAGTGTTTTTTCTGTTGGTGTCTGCTGTGTGTAGGTGGAGAAGGCCAGGGGGTGGCTGGGCTCCTTCTTTCCCCCTCCAGGGGGGAAGGGGAGCCCTGTGGTCCCCCCAACTCTGCCTAGGCCAGAGTTAGAGGCAGCATTTGGAGTGTGTGCTGTGAAGGAAGAGATTGACAACACCTGAGGTTAAGAGGGAGGAGGCCAGGCCCTCTTCACCCCCCCCCTGCAGCTGCGGGATGCTTGGGACAGTGTATAACCGGACAGAGCTGCCTGTGGCCAAGGCTAGGGGGCTTTTTCCCCCCCCACACTGCATTGAGGCTGCTGGGGGGTGGATTTTAAGGCTCAGCATTGAAGCAGAGCCAAGTGGACGGGCTGCTGACGAAACAGCTCAGAGCCAGGGAAAGGAATCCCAGGCGAAATTGGAGACGGACCGAAGAGAGAGGCCCGGAGGATGTCTCTGCCATGATTTAAACGCAGGACAGCCGAAAACCCAGAGGAGGAATCAACATTCCAGGACCCGTACATTGATAAGCTACACTACAGCAGCCTACGAACCGAGGTAGGAGACTGAGAAAGACAGATCACACAGCAGACTGAGGAGAAAGGACTCAAAGCTACTTTCTTGGACTTGATGAGGAGAAAAACTGCAACAAACAGCTGAAGGTTGGCTAAGGAGTGTTCAGGGGCCCAGAACACTCCCACAAGAGAAAGACTGCATTACCCAGCAGCCTTGAAAGGCTCTTCCCGGACTAAAGTTAAAAGGAGGGGCTTAAAGGACTGATAGAAGTGTAATACTATATATATGTATAGTTGCCTTTAGTTTGTATAGTATTTATTTGTGTAAATAAATGTATATACTTCCCCTTCCCCCTATAGAAGCCTCTGACCTGAAAGTTTCTCTCTGGTGTTGGGATAAATTGTGGGAAGGGGTGGGGGGAAGCCTGGAAATTGGATTCTGGATTTCTAATGTGGCTCAAACTGCCACGCACTTTAATTCAGATGTTCTTCCTTTCACACTTTTCATAAAAATACTCTACATCACCATTAAAAAATCAGGATCAACTTTATAGCATCAAAGCCTTGAAATACGTTGTTGGACTATCTTCTTCTCATAGTGAGCACCTAAGAGCTGCTTACCAAGGTATGTGTACCGCCTGGCTATCACGGCATCATCATTCAGCTTGTAATATGTGTTGTCAGTGAGATTCAGTACTTTGACAGTTCCTGTCCAATAATACGATCCTGGTGCCCCCATGATGACCAGCTCCTAAAACAAGAAAAATGGAAGTGTGTGGGGGAAAGGATGGGAGGAAAAAATAACAACCAAAACTGGACAGAAATTCATGCTTTGCACATTAATGGAGAAGGGACAGGATATTTACTTAAAACACTAATTAGAAGTCCATCTATAAAAATCTTCATTCTGTGTACAGATTCCTTCTTCCCAAAAATGGAGGTCACTGCATACACCCTAGAGACACATTGCCCTTTTATGGTCCACTTCTGCTCAGCTGTTCTGCTGCAACAGAAGACCCTCCTCAGTTTTACTAACCATCAAACTTATCCCTGCTAACATAGGTGTCCCAAAAATCTCTCCAACTGCTGCCTTTCCAAAGATAGAAGCACTCCAGCCCACCCACAAGCACCACTCAGCTACAGATCATGTCCCGATGCTGGCTTTTGATTTTGATTTTACAACTATGAAGCTAAAGAGATGCCATGTGCTCAACAAGCAGGGTGTACATTATGTCATAGTTGGAACATTTTGCCTGCGCTCTGGTCTTCGAGAGACAACCTGGCTATAGAATCATCACAGAATCATAAAATGGCTTGGGTTCATTACAGACAACCAGCATGATTTATCATTTTAAAAGACTGTAGAAATCAGGCAAAGTTTGATCCAATATGAGTCAAAAGCTAAGGTACATTTGCACACAAGAGAGATTCAGAAAACGTTGCCCCAAAGCATCCAGCATCCTTGCAGGGAAACTTTATTCCTGTATGTGGTTTTAAATACCTCCAACAAGAGACCAAATTAAGCCTGAGGAGCATTAAGCCTAAGTAAGTTCTCCATCCCCAAAGACACACGGACAGCTGCTTTGCCTCACATCTCCATTCAGTGTAAAGCCATGGGTGGACTCCATCCTTGTGGGAAAATGCTACCACATCCAGGTCCCCTTCGGGTGACCAGTTCTAGCTGGGGGGGAAATGTTAAACAAGGGATTCTCCTGCAGGGATAGGACTGCAAACCCAACTAAAGAGCAGGATGTGCTTTGAAATAGCTTTTTCCTTGTAAGGGGCCATGCCCGTGAGGTCAAGGGATTGTTTACTGATGGGAACAACTACCATCCACAGCACTGAATATATGGCAAGGGATTGCCTGTTTGACCCAAAAAGCCATTTATCTGTATTTCCTGCCGCCATCAGGCTGAAGCAATAAAAGTTCAAAGATATCTTTTGAACTAGGGTAGCAAAGGAGGATTTAAGCATGGGAACAGAAACAGGATGGACAGAGCAGACAAGCCAGGAAACAGCTGCTGCTAGCTGAACATCCAATTACAGATAGTGCCCCTGTGGCAACATTGCCTGCCATCCCAGTTTACTGAAATGGAAGAAGGAGATTTCTGAGAGAGAAGACCTTTATTCTCTTTGTATCAGCCTGGACAATACATTCCACAAATCAGTGCATATATAGTCAGGACTGAGTGTAGGCTCTCAACAAAAATCTAAAAAAAACCCCAAAAACCAAAACCAAAAAAAAAAGCAAAAAAATTGTAATCCTGAAACATCGACTAAAAAAATCATGCATACATAAGGGAACAAATTCATCCTTGACATAACTAAAACATGGCTGATAGAATTCTGTGCAGGAAAGAATATGGTCAGGTATTTAGAACAGCTCTGGACCATATATTTGACCATGCTGTTTTTTCTCCACGTTTTTGCAACAAGGAACTGTAGTAGAACTGAAAAAAAGTGTTTATCTTCTGTATGTATGCACATTATATTTACCCACACGTACACATACATAAACAAAATGATTCAGGGAAGACTGCTGTACATCATCACTTACAGTAAAGAGTTAACAATAGACACAGAAATAGCTCCATGCAAGTTTTGGGATGTACACAATAAGAACATTCCCAGAGTCAATTCATTCATTCTTGTCCACAGGCCTTGAGAGACATACACATAGTGTATGAACCACTGGGCAAGACGCAGATGCCTGGGAAGCCAGACAAGGCAGGAGGGTGTTTGGTGGCAGGAAGGGACCATGCTCAGCACTCAGCCGGCTGTCCAAGCCATGCTCAGGGGTCTCCCCCCAGGGCATACAGTGGGACAGCTGCTCGCCAACCCCTGCCCTTCCAATGCATGCACCTCTGCTCACCTCGGTGAAGAAGCCTGCGATCCCTGCCTGGCATGAACCGTGCTCCTCCCCGTATTTCTTCTTGTACTCTGGATGGGAGAAGGGAAGAAAACAAACTGTGGTCATCCCTGGCACAGCACACACTCTCCACCTGAGTCATCTGCCTCACTACACACACAGCCTGGAGAGACACCAGCATGCAGGGCTCTCAGGTTTTATTAGTGGATCTGCCACCAACATGCACCATGCGGCACACTCACCCACATCGGCAGGCAAAGCAAGGGGCCAACTGGAGAGATAGCCTGAGTGCTGCCTAGGGAGATGCTAAACAGGCAGTTTCACAGCAGCACGATAACAGCAGCAGCATCGCCCCAGTAAAGGTGTATCAGAAGAGGCTTCCATCTGTGGCAGACAGATCTGCCAGCTGGAAAGGGGGTAGCAAAAGGTGATACACAAGTCTGTGTGTGACTGACCCTGCACTAGGAGGTTTAACCCACAGGCCCATTACTACCTCAGAGAAATAAAGTGATCTTCCCCCACAATGACAGTCACCAAAGCCCCAAGAAACATTTCTGGTGGAGGAGTGTTTCAGGACACCAGTCCCAGGAAGAAGACAGCGAGTGAGGAAAGGGTACTGTGCTTCTACATGATCAAACAACAGTCTCATTTGCTGGATGCTCAGATCTGCTATTTTTCATGGCCACTTGCTCAAAGCTCCCAGTTCATAGGGAACCCACCAGCATCCTATAGGTTTTGTTTCTGTATTTTACGTAGCAATTGTTTGCCCTGTCAAACCTGAGGAAGGTTTTTATCTTTTTGATGAAGAGGAAAAAATTATTTTCAGAAATACATTAAATTCAGGGCAAGGAGAAGGAGAAAAGAGGAAAAAAAGAAAATCACTTTTTGCCCTGCCTTAATTCAAACATTTTCAGCTTAGGAGCATTTGAAACTTAGAGCCGGATCAGAACCTTTGGAGTTTTTTTCCAGAGCATTATTTTCCAATATCTACCATAATATTACCATTTCCTGTGTATTACAATCATTAAAAAAAAAAAATTTACCATATAATGTGATAATTGTGAAACTTTTTTATATTTCTTATTTTAAAAGCCCCATTAAAACTCACTGCTAAATGATAAAAATTTTAATGAAATCAATTAGCAAATTACCTCCTTGGAATCAAGGAAGTTCCTTCGAGTTGAATTTTATCTCATTGAAGATCAAAAGGAATTAATTATAAGAACTGCTATGTTCTTAGAGAATTTTTTCAAAACACTGTATGTAGACATACATACACACACACACCCATTCTCCCTTTGATATTATATATAGTCTCTTCCTAATACCATATGTTCAGATTTTCAGAAATTTGCTGAGGTCATACCAGTTGCACAGGGTGAGGTTCAGTTGGAGAGACCATGCAGAACAGAGACTTGATCCACAAATTACAATCCAAATGCCTAATGCCCTTGGCCAAAGCAGGGTCCTGCCAAAGTAGATGTGTGTCTCAGCAGACCAGGAAGGCCAGAACACAGCTGGGTTTTGGGGCGGGAATGCATGATAACAATTCCACTTAGAATTGAAGCCCATATTTGCCCATAGCTATTCAGAAACTGCTAGGGCTTTGAATAACTAGCTCTCCACATACAGTCTCTCATAGAGCCACGCAGTCCTTGCCTGGGGAAAAAATATTTTTTTATTGATGTGAACATTTTTTTAATTCAGAAAGCCAAGGAGAGGAGCTTTATCCCTCTAGGATTTCCTGAAAAATAATTCTGTGCATGTCCTAAAGGCCCTGCCTTTGCTACAGCAGGATTCCCACTCCTATACAGAAATGCAATGAGGCAGGCCAAGGCCCATTTGGAATTAAATGTGATGAAGAACGTCAAGGATAACAAGAAAGGTTTCTTCAAACACATCAACAACAAAAGGATACTAAGGGAAATGTGAGCCTACTACTGTATGAAAAGAGGGACCCTTGTAACAGAGGTTGCAGAGAAGACTGAAATACCGAATGCCTTCTCAGCTGCCTGTTTGGAAGACTGGGGTGACATTTGCTTTCTTCCATTACTCAAGCCTTTTTTGCTTCAGTCTTCACTAACAAGGACAGTGACATTTTACAAGTGGAAGCGCAGAGTCCCAAACACCTCAGACATCGGGGCTGTTTGAGAATTTAAACCTCTACTGACACAGAGACGAGATCAGGACCACATTTTGGGGGGGATCAAGACAGATGCAGTCCTCCCCAGGGAGCCAGCAGCCCAGTATGGGCAGACACTGGGCTCCTGTATTCCAGCCTAACCCTTTCAGCACAAAATCACTCCTCCTTGTCAGCCCACCTAACTCCCATCTGCAGCAGCATATGCCTGCCTCCACACTCAAGCGGGGTTGCTTTCCACACATGCACCCATGGTCACAGCCAAGAGTAGACATCCATCCTGGACAGTCATGTCTCAGCATCACAGACTTCTGTCTCCTCCCAAGGGCCAGTCTGTCTCTCACAAGCAATGGATAAACCCAAAATGGATGAAAACAAAGATTGCTTCTACCTCCCCTCCACTTCAGTGCATAGTACTGATACCTGTCACTCGTACAGCACAGCCATCCATCCAACAATCCATAAAGTGAAGCAATCAACTAGATGGAAATTGTGCAGTTATTGTATCAGCTCACAGTTTTTGCACACCTGAACAGCAACATTTGCATGAGGTTTAGATTCATTATTTTCCAGGTAGCCCCAGGCAATAAGTACTGTCTGTCATGGATAGATTTTTTTTTTTTCTACACTTCTTTATTGTTCTTTCTTGTCTACTGCAAACTGCTGTGCACCACTGATTACAGAGACTGCAAGCCACTAAACCGCTGCAGCAACAGGTGATAGCAAAGCAGTAAGTTTGGAGGAGGTTGCTGCCTGTGCAACTTTGAAGATGTGCCATGAAGAGAAGAAGATGGTAGTGGTTTGTAGCCAGGATGATCTCAAGTTACAAGAGAAGTGAGGCTGAGGAAGGAGTAATTGGATAAAACAATGCATAAATAAGAGGAATAAGCTTTGATGTGTGGTGGTGTTTAATTCTGAAGGCCAATGCTCGTCAACTTCTCTGAACAAACCTCTTTGCGAGTCTCTAAGACTTTGATGCGATAAGTTAAGCTCCAGAGTGCAATAAAAACCTGTATCTACCATCTTCACAGATGTAAACTATCATTTGCACTGAAAGCTTTTTCACTCCTATCTTAGTGTTTCACTACTCTACGAAGAAACAGTAATAACCTGTCTGACACAGCATTGTGATACTGAATTTCCACCACAAAGCAGGGATGTTTTGATGGTTTCTAGAAAATCAAAAGTGGTTTGGACTCTGTGGGAGAACTTATCCCTTTGGAAGCAAGGCACGTGAGCATGTGCTGTTGCCCTTATTTACTAACCAAAGAGACCATCAGTCTTCCCCACTGCCACCACTAATTCTTACCACAGAGGAGAAGGAAAGCACTCCAGCTCTCCCCATTAGCTGGACTGTCTCTCACAGTACACACAGTTACCCTTCTTTGCAAACTGAATGCATTGGGGGAATGAAGAGGCAGCTTCCTTTTTTGGAAAGCCATTAAAACTATGGGAAAAATAACAAATTGAAAGCATTGACTAGAAAACTGTGGCTCCATATGTCAGCTACACCACAAATGACATCCAGCTCATCTAAACCAGATTAGTTCCTACTGAGAGAGATTGCATTTAACTATTAGGCATGCTGTTGATCTCATTTTTTTCTAAATTGCTTCCAGACTTCTGTCAATCCTTTCAGGGAAGCCAGACAAGAATAAGATGGACTGAGACTACTATGCTGTTGCACCACTACCATCTAGTTAGATAATTTCCATTTTCTCCATGGATGGAGACTGATACGCACCCAGCTGGCCTGTACCCTCTGCCAGTTCAGGCTTATTGCTTTAGTGGCACTAACAACAGGGTTTCTGGAAGTGAGCATGCTACAGTCTACACCTATTTGCACATGGCAAGACACTGGAATCTCATCAAGCAAAGGCACGTGTCCCAGTGCAGGGTTTGCAGCCACGGGTCTGGTAGCCTCCCAGCAATGGCTGCAGAGGCTCTCAGTGTAGAAGCACTTCAAACTTGATGCTTTGGGCTGTTCCTCAGTGTTAGTGGAGGAAAATTTCTTCTGCTCCTTCCAGGAAATGAAGGAAAAAAGTTACAAGGATGACCGCAAACTTATTTCACAGCAAATCTTAAACAATGAACTGTGTGACATACCACAGTTATCTCTCTCTTTGAGCTTGTTTTATAGAAATTTAAAGATTCAGGAGGAAACAAATGCAGACAACCCTCATGACACTGTGATTTCATGTCTGATGGGGTGAAGGAGGTGGGTGGAAATCACTCCCAAACTTTCAATTTTCACTTTAGCATGCAGTGAAATTAAGCCAGCATCTTACTGCACCAACCCTGCCAACTTTCCACTGGCTGCTCTGCACATACTAGGCCTACACATTTCTATTTTCTAGCAATTCCTGGCAAATATCCTGTCTGATTAACAGTAGTTTTACTCCAAAGACATGACGCACAGATAAACACAAGCCATTTGTCTCTTCCAGAAACCACTTCCCTGTCACAGCTCCAGGAAAGACAAGTTTAAGGCAGTGCAGGAGCAGTGACACAGGTTTGGAGGGAGCCCCAGCAGCATCCTCATGTGTGTATATGAACCATAAAGTTAATATTGGATGATTTGCAGTGTATGACCTCAGCATGAGGCCTTATCCTGATTTTGCTGACAGTAACAAGGAGGGCAGGGGGACAGGGAAGTACAAATACAGTAGGACGGTGCTCACAACAGAAAGGCTTATAAAGCTTATTTGTACTCTGCTGCCCAGCAGTTGGCATGGTTGGGCGAAGACCCTCAAAACTTCTCATATATCAAATAATGACCAATTTCAGGGGTGGGAAATGCTCAATGCACAAGTGCATGCCATCTTTAAAAGGTGTGTGGGTTTGCAATGTCAGATCCCCAGGCAAAGCCCAGAGGGAGGTAAGGAGCCACCTCAGAAGAAAGAGTGGGTATGAAGAGGACAGAGTTCTGTCACAGAGCTGGCTTCACAGACCACCCAGCTAGGACATGGTGACTCGTCAGCAGCAGAGAAACTTTCCAGGACATCCTCTGCCTTATCCTTCTCCCACATATTAATGTCAGCAGCAAGCGTGCTGCTGGCTGTTGCCAACTTTGGACAGGAGGGCAAACGGATAAAAGCAAATAAGTAAATAAAATCAGAGGTCTTGTCCACAAGAAGAACATCTTGTCCTTCAAACACCCATGCTTCCTCAAGCTGCTACAATCAAGAAGTGAAAGATGATGTCCAGGACAGAAAGGAGAAAGCAAGCGGGTGCTTTCCCCAAAATGTTTCTCTCAAGGACAAGAAATCTTACGAGATAGCCTATCTTCTACCTAACAATACACTCATTCATCTAGTTTTGTTAATTGCTCTTGGCCAAGAAGACACTGCCTCCTGAAGTCTTTAAAAAAGGAAACACAATACAAGAGTCTCACATGCACCAGAGAGGGGGAAATTAAAACGCTGCCACATGGGATTTGCAGCAGAACAAAGAGGCGCAGCCATGGTTCAGAGCTGAAGCCCTCCCTCTGCATCTGTCTCACACCCAGACCTTTGGAGGATCCAAACAGGGACCTTATAGCACCCAAAACACAGCAGCGATTTAGTATAAACTGTTGCAGAAGTACCCCAAAGTGAGCAAAGCAAGCCTTCCCCCTGCCCCGTCTTCTAATCCCCTGACAAATCACAGTGCAAAAATTAAAGTGTTTCTATATGATAGGCAAATTGGTTCATGATTGCAATGTAATTCAGAATTTTTACTCTGTGCCACAGTGAAGCATTAGAGGCCAAGCTCAGATCAGTATCTTCTCATTATTTACGTTAGGAGAGAGCTGCTGCCTCAAAAACACAGTTCAGAAACTTATTATTCCTCCAATAAAGTGCAACCATGCACTTTACCACTCACAGGGTCCGTTCAGTCATTGTGCTACTCTCCCAACTTCATCCAAAATCCAACTGCCACTGGGCAGCCACACATTACCAAAAAAAAAAAAAAAAAAAAATATCAATAGTAGTGAGTTACTGTAGCAGTTAGTGTAGCAAGGAAGATAAGCCCCACTCACGGCCCCACAATCCTTACCTTCATAGCAGGGCAAGAGTTGTCTCCCATTGGACTGTAAGTTGGGAGGAATGATGTTGCAGAAGCCATGGGGCAAGATGTACTCTGTCTCATAGTAGATGTTTTTCCAGCGGTGTGCACATGCCTGAATAGATCATATCACATGGGTTATTAGCCCACAGTCATAGGAGAGCCCTCTGACCAAGGCAGAGCACGCATGAACAGGACCACTGAGCACCACCTCTGCCCCATAACCCCCTTGTGTTCTCCTTACATCCCACTCTTTCTACATAAAGTATCTTCTGACTGTTCTCTTCTGCAGTTCATGACTCTACCTGACCTGGCAGCTCAGATCTCAGTATTCACATGTGCATGACGAGGAAAACAAGACAGCTCAGAGTATATCAGAGCTCATGCTGGAGATTCCAGGATCTCTTACTGTGCATGAATCCTCACAGACAGCAAAGCTTTTCTACCTAAAGATGCACTAACAGAACATAGTCAAGCCACATAAAAGTGAAAAACAGGAATAAAGACATTGAGAATACTTAGAAAGTTACTAAGACCATATTAGAAACTTATCCCACCAGAGGATGCATGTGTGAGTCAAAGTTTTTTTTCTAGCAGGAAAGGCAGCTCTGTTTCTGGTGACAGATGTGCTGAGCCTTGCTTACTGGTAATGAATTTAAGTGAAAATGCCAGAGATTTTGCAGCAACAAGTGTGGCAACATTAACCAAGGTGCAGATGAGTTGCACAGGTTGAAGTGCCTTTCCCTTCACAGTGAAGAATGAAACCATCCTGAAAAACCTCAGGACTCATCAGCACACTTGCTCAGTACAACTGCCATGCACAGGCACACATGCAAGCAATGTAGAGCCTGGTTCACAACTTCCCACAACTCATTTGCTCCAAAAGTTAACACTGCACTACTGCCAGACAAACCACAAGTTGCCTTGTGCTCAGGGTTAACTTGGAATAAAAGGAAAGAAAATGTAAAACAGCAAGGGCTTTGAACTTGAGCACATGCCAGGCCATATCTCCAGCTGGTATAAGTCTACTCTGAAGTCAGTGTAGATGTGTCCATTTATATCATTCAAGGCCTGGCCCCATGCAAACAGAGCAGCCTCTATGCTACAAATCATCTCCTCCACATACTTTTCCTCAAAGCTTTGTATCAGTCCCCTTCACGAACCGCATATTTGACTGCATCCCCCCCAAATGAGATACCCTCAGTCTTCCATCCCTGTGTGCTACCCCACCTTTCTGCCTCAGCACCTCAATGTTGTTAAAAATTATATCCATCCATAATGCAGGCACAATTGTGTCACCTCTCCAGTAAAGGATGTGAGAAGTGTATCAACCACTGGGAAGCTCAAATCCAGCCACCACCAGAGAGAGGCCCCTTATCTCCAAAAAGACATAAACAGGTAATACTACTCCCACAGAGCAAAATCAGTTGTGCAAAAGCCTGTTCTGTATTAGCTGTGCTACACTTGGAGTTTGATATTTTTTGCTTTCCTAACTTCCAGTGCTCAAGGAGAAGCACATACCTCCTTAAGATCACAGAGGGACAGTCTGATGCTTTTCTATTTAGTCTGTCACACAAACACAAAACTCTGATTTAGTAACATCCTGGCACAATATGGGCTCAAACACAATCCACATTTTACCAAACACTAGCTAAAGCCCCCTGGAACACTCCTCACCTTCCCTACTGCCCCTTTCCACTAAAGCTGGTACTCTTATCAGGCAATTGGGGAAGGCTGATAAGAGAAAAATTTAGGCCACTAACCAGTTTCAAAGCAAAAGCAACAACTTCTTTATACAATCTACAGTTAAGTTGTGGAACTAGTTAATCTAACACAGGACCTCAAGAGCATGAATATTTCACACAGGCGAGTACACTTACTTATGCAAAAAAAAAAAAAAATCATCCAGGGCTATTGACCACAAAGATATTAGTCTGACTTAAAGGAATTCCCGGAAGAAATGCAGTAAATAGAGTTGTAATGCCTTACAATAGACTGCACACACTCCTAACTAAAGAGACTCACTCACGTTAGCTAGTAATTTTGTTAAAAAACTAAAAATTTGGCAAATATGTCTAGGAACGCACATTTAGACATGTTTTCTCAGAACACTAGTTTCTCAAAGGGGCTTCAAAGAAAAGTTACATTTTAAAGAAATACTGATCCTTAAAATTATAAGAGCACATGTACTAAAAGCCATCTGCTCATGGGAAAGTCACAAATCTTTTTTATTAAAAAGTTATCCCAAAACAGAATAACAATGACCTGAAAAAGCCAGGTAATTTCCATCCAAAAAGGAATCTGCATGCATTCATTCCAGGCATGCAGATGTGCACAGACATATAATTAGCAGTTGAAGAGTCAGTGCTTTGGTTATAAATATCAATGAGAATTATATATTTAAATATCCTCAAGCATCTGGACATGATCTACTTGGTGAGGGACAGCATAATCTTGTCAGAAGGCTGCGTTAGGGCTGCTTTAAATCAGTGCCACTTGTGGAGACATTTTACTAGCTTAATCTGCACTGACACAAGCACACCCCCAGTTGCATATTTTACTTTAGCTACATTTCACTTTTTACCTCCTTTATGTGTGAAGATTCTATCCCTTCAGCCCCAGTTTAGGGCCTCACAGCCTGCCCATGTCTCTCACCCTTGTAGCCTCCACTCAGCCAGCCAGCAAACAGCCCCATTCTTGGTGGTTGCCCAGCTTTTTGCCCTACCAGCACTCGCTTAATTTTCTGCTTCTGTCTGGGGAAATGATCCCCAAGCATCAGCTGCAACCTGTTTCCCTTTGAACCAAAATACACAAAACCATTATTCTTAAGATATAATATTGACAAAAATGTTTCAGCCTAAAAATGTTTGCCTAAAAAAGAGTATGAGCTACCTTCTAAAAATGGATTAGGATGACTTTGTCTAGTTCAGTCTGATGACTGGACAATGAAGAGGATGTTGTGTTTTGAGGTAGCGTTATCCTCAGTGCAAGTTACTCCTCAGTCGTTACACAGGACTGAGCACACATATACCTCAGGATAACCCTTGAAAATATGAATAGCTTACACTATCCATGAACGCCTTAATTTTGCGCTCTGCAGTACATGTTTATAGGGTATGTTATTTATATCTTTTTCTCCCCTCCTCCTCTAGTCCTGACCACACTTAAGAAATCCAAGAAAAGTAAAGCTAGCCCCTATAACACTGGCAAGCTGTATACCAAAAGAGATGATGGGATAAAATATCACAGTACTGTCACATAAAGGTATTAAAGCCACCTGCTCCCTTCACAGGGAAGTTGGTGTACAAGCATTTGGGGCATAACCATTTGGACTGTAAGCACATATTAAAAAAAATACCTTTGTGGGAAGCAGCTTTGTCCTCTGGCCTTACACAGGTGGTTGGCACAGTAATCACTGTACAAGATCTTTCTCACTAGCAGCTTTTTGATAGTTTGATGCCATGTACCAGGGCAGTCCCCTGTCTCGCTAGAAAGATGGGGCCAACTGAAAGTTTTCTACTCACAAAGAGCAGTGTCTAGAATTAGACTGTTGTCAGGATTACTCTGATAATAGGAAATTAATATAAATAAATAAAAAATACAGCCACAAAGACTCATTTTACATTTTTCCTTGTAAGTTCTGACATGTCATACATATGTTCAAGGAAAATAAGCATATTCCCTACATAAACACAGGCAAACTACAAAAAGAACAAACTAGTAGGTACCTCCCAGACAAAGTTCCATTTATTCGGCTCAAAGATATAATCTCTCAGGTTTAGGAAGAAGCCCTTGGGTGACACGAGTCAAGTGTGATGGCTTGGAATCTTCCCTCTATAAACTGCATTTTTGGGCTGGGGGCTCACTTTCCCTTCTGCTTGAAGGAAGAGACTACAGAATCTGCTGCCTCTTACTCTGGACTCAGTCAGTCACTGCCAAACACATTAATCCTGACATGCTTACCATTACAATCAGACAGCAGCAACAGTTTTAACAGATCAAAGAAAAGCATGGACTTACCAGCACACTTCCACCAGCCTTCGGTTGTCTAGCCAGGCTCACACCCATCCATTCATCATCTCTGTCTTCTTTACAGGTCTTTCCACAGGGTGTGCCCCGAGAATTGCCTACAGAAAGACAGTAAAGGCAGCAAAGCAAGGAGGCATGAGTTTTAAATACCCACCAAAGAATCCTGACAAGTAATGAGATTGCCCTTTAAACATCCGATGGCGCTTTACTTTCCTCCTGATTATTAGTTCTTGAATGCATTAATCAGGACAATGCTCTCACTCCTGATAGGCACCACACACATACATAGTTGACAGACCCTGTCCCCAACAGCCAGCAGCTATTACAGCATGTCCACAGCTCTACTTGAATAAACCACCAAATGATCAAGTAAATGGGAGAGACATCAGATTCCCTCCAGAATGCAATTAAAGCAAAAATTACTCTTGCAAATGAGATAGGGAGCACTTAAAAAAAAAAGAGGACGAAATCTTTAGTCCTGTCAGGCAGCATTCACAAATCCATGATAATTTACATTACAGTAGCAGGACAAATCACTTAGCCAAAACGCTGTTTTAACACATGTAAACTTCATGAACAGAAATTCTACTTGACTCGGTATAAGTATGAAAAGATGAACAATACTAACATCACTTTTTTTATAGGCAGAGAAAGCAACATGTCACCAAGAAAATCAAACTATTAAAAGGCTTCAATCTGCACCATCATTATCCAGCATGAGATTTTAAATTAGAATTTTACTTTAGGACTCCACCTTCCTCTGACTCAGACAGCACGCTGGAGAAACTGAAGTCAATCCTGACCAAGTGCAATAGCGTACATCTCTTACTGAGAGCATTTCATCACAAAGAGCAAACTCCAGGAATGATTTGCTGCATTATGGGGGAACACACTGTTACACTGAAGCAGGTGAAGAAAAGACAGCAGCTTAGTGTAAGCAGGGAAAAATCCACCTTTACCTAGTTACTTGTTGGAAAGAGCGAGCAAGGCCACTGGGAGGACACCAGCATGAGGTGGGATGTTATTTTGTAATGCTGAAGAGAATAAGACACTTTTGCTACCATTGCTCAAAATCCATCAGAAAGGCTGATGACTCCTTGTTAGTGTTTTGGGGCCAATTTGAAGCTGGCAGAAGCATTGCTAGCCATATGGGTTGGATTTTTTTTGGTTCCTTCCATCTGTCCCAAAGCATCATAACTACCTACCTCGTCCCATATCCAGTTCTGTGCATCTTCTGTCAGGATTGGTATGGACTCGACATTTAAACACTGCTCCTGGGGACTGAACAGAGGTGCTGTATTTAGATTCTGCCTTCGGAGCACCAACCAAGACCCTGGAAACCAAAAGCAAAGTAACAAGTGATTAACTTCAGGAGAAAATTAAAAAAAATGAACAAACACACCACCAAGGCTCCCATTGCCAGAGCTTCCTCAGCAAAAGCACTTTTCTCAGCAACCTCGTAAAATGATGATACTGACTCACAAATTGAAAACACCACACACAATAAAGGCATTTTTCCACAGTGAAGGCATAAATACTTTATCAAGTTAAATTTCTATTAAGATTGTAACACATTTAAAGTTACACACCCTCACCACACACACACCCAAAGCATTTTGGAAATCAACAGGATGGACAGCTGCATCCATTTTTCCTCAGTTTTAGCTACATCCCTGTCAACCCAGAGCTGATACACACACCTACAAGAGGACAAAATCTGAACCTTCATGCTTGCGAGCCAGCCCAAGATTTGTAAGTGTGTTTAGGAAGTGGAAGCACAAACAGCAGTATAAGCAAATCTCTTCCACAATGCATTGCTATCAGCCAACTTTATCCTTGAGGCTGTGAAGACTTTACTTGGACTATTTATCCCACATGAGACCTACTGTTTCTGAGAAGCACCAATGCCCAGTTCTGATCACAGGGTTACTCTTGACAGATGATGAGCACCTTTTAATTACTTGTGTTAGGATCCAGTTAAATTGTTTAGCAAGCTGGCATCTACCTGCTCATGCCCTAAGGGATGCCTTTTCAGAAGGATTACAGGGGGAGCACAAGTATTAAGTGAGTCCTTTCACTGCCTCCTCATTAAAGGGACAATCTTTCTCAACTAGCTATGAGTCCAGATCTAGGCACATGAGGATGAGGATGGAGGTTAAGCAGGAGGAAGGCAGATCAAGGGAGGGCAGTGGGGACCACCAGGTAGTTAAGTAACAGTTCTGTAATGCTCTTGCTATGTCAGGCATGACAGAGCTTCTGCATGTAAAAAAATCCTCACTGAAGTTAAGCCCAGGGCAGAACTAAGGGCAACCATCTCTGAAAGGCTGAGGCTCCAGCACTCCTGTGCGGACCCAGCCTGGTACTTGGGAGGCAGCAGCTGACCAAGGAAACACTGCTCTTGGTTTAGCCACTAAAGGGATAAAGAGCTACTGATGCAAAGTCAGTCTGTATACACAACTTTCCCATGGCACAGATGGACAGCCCAGCACCAGTCCCAAAGTGGATGCTTTCCCTGTTTTAAACAACTTTTCCTTCATCCTCTAAAGTTACATCCACAATCACCACCCATCATCACCATCCCAGTAAACACAGGAAGACCCAAGACACAACGTGTGCATGTGTCCAGGGTCAACCTGAGTCATCTGGAAGAGCTTCTCCCGCATCAGAGCCTCATCTATACCCAACAACAGTACGTCTCCACTCCTGACACACTCCCCTGGACATAGGATACAACAAAACTACCCTGTGGCCCTTGATGTGTTTACAAAAAGAAGCGAAACCCCTGCATTAAGTGACCATTTTCTCTGAAGTTTCTTGGGCTAGGCTGTATCATTTGGAGAATTCTGATGGGGTTGCAGTCTTGCACTCTACAATGCACATCATGTTTTCACAAGTGAGAAGAATTAATGTCCAAAATACTTAAATTGCTAAAACCTACAAAACCGGCACACATTGGGCAGCAAGTGAAAAGGAGTTTGAAATAACAGCTCCACATGGAAATCCCACTAGGCAGGCTGCAGGCACAAAATCAAATGCCAGTCATCTCATTTACACAGGCAATGAATGCTTATCATTCACTTATTGACATTCATGAGGTCTAACAAAAATAAATATTACTAGCTTAAATAGTTACAGGTTCAAATTACAAGTGGCAAGAAACTGTTTCTATGACCTGTTATAACAATCAGATAATGTAGGCCACACTGATCTCCAGCTTACAAGAAGCTTTGCTCTAACCTAAGAAAAGTAAATACAATTCAGCAACTAGTGCACAAAAAACTTTGCGTTGTAGCATAAAAGATAGAGATGATGGAGTCTAAATTACAAAGATTTTTCAGCTTTCTTTAAAAAGCCAAATGGGAAAATTTAATAATCAATGATTTGAGTAGGCTACTGGCTCAGATAATATTGCTGTCTTGAGCAAATACACCTTTCAAAAAGAAAATGTCTGTTGACATTTCTTCACGTGGACTGAGAAGAAGGAAGCAGAGAGTGACACGTGCCAAAAGCAAATCTCTTTCAGATTCTCCTGAATATTCATTCATTCAAATTTGATATTTTACCTACATCCCACACTATGTCATCTTAGGATCTTGTCTCATTCTTTCACTCTTGCACCTAAAACCCAGCAGTTAAAACCTTTGCAGATCTCCTGTTCCATCTGGCATGATCTATGCTCATCCATGTCCTGAGATGGTTACCTTCAGGGAAATGGGAGGTTTTTTTGTTGATTCACATGCTTTTTGGTTGGTATTTGTCACATACCAATTATTTCAATTTTATTCAAAGGTTTGAGACCGGAATATTTCGTTTGCCAGCATAAAGACTTGCTTACTCTTTCACTAGTTTGTAATGGCTTAACTGTTGTAAGAAAGTCACCTATTTAACTGTCATGAGACTTTCAGCAGGCCTGGATAGAAGACTCATTTCCATCTAAATATTTTGGGACTCCTTGAGCAAAACAAACACCTGTTTTGTATCTCTATACATTTAAAACACTTGTGAAACCTTTTGTGATTTCTATGAAACAATGCTACAATCAGAGAAAGTGTTTTTCGTCTAGTACCATATCAACTCAGAAAATCATTTAAAAAAAAATCTTAGTGTCTAATACAGTCTTCTCACATTTAAGTGTTGTGGAGTCTTGCCTGGCACAAACACAGAAGATATAAATACAGCTAGCAGAAGTACAACCTTCCAACATCACTCTTGTTTAAGCAGTTCTGGTTTAAAATAGCCTGATTTTTGTGGTATAGATCTCCAGTGCTGCTATACGACTACTTGTGCTGTCAGCAAGCAAGTACCAGCAGTTCTCCAGCCTTTTGCCAAAAGGTTTACTAAGCGGATAATACTCTCTGCACAGATTATAAATGACTGCTGGTTCTCACCACAACCATACTATTCTGTGGGAAGCCCCTAGAATATTTTTGAGTATCTGCCTGAAGATACCTTGAAGAAGAAATCCCCTCAAGAGAGAGATTTCTTCCTATGGAAGACAACTGAGGGCAGAAGGAGTAGAGTTCAGGGCCTTTTTAGAGTCACTTTTGCTTGAGGTGCAAAACAAATCTGTAAGCAACAGCCTCATTCCACTGGCTCTGTGAAAAAAATATTGGTGTCTAAATCAAAATAAGGAGTAGCAGGCAGAAAGGCCACTTAACCCTCTCTTCTTGCATTCATACTCACATAAGGAAGTCAAAACACTTTCATCTGTACTGAGACAACAACACAGCTGCATGGCCAGAAACCATTCCACTGCAGGAGTCACAGCTGCCAATATTAATGGATGACAAGAAGCTTTCTTGGCCAAAGGGAAATTCACACCTTCGTAAAATTACTTTCTGTAGAACATTAACAATCACTTCACTGGTGATTGACCCTCGGGACATACAGATTTGGAAAATAAGTGCTGCATTTAACAGAAGGAACAGGGAGAAAAAGTGCAGAGCTGACTAAATGGCTGGAGAGATGCCATGTACACTAAGCATCAGCCTGCAGCATGTCAGCAGCGATTAGGCAATCACAACTCAAGGACTGTAGGTACCTCACCTCACTGCAATGTTAAGTGGCAGGGAAAAGAAGTCTTTAAATATCCTTGCATACCAGAGCTGATTTCAAAAGCAGTACCAGAGGAGGGTGCACTACCATCATATCCCAGTTGAGCTTCTTCCCTTTAGAAAGATCTCTGTTACTTGCAATAAAAACCCCAGGTACTTGGGGTACACTGAGGATGAAACCTCAGTGTTGCATCCATTACATGCAGAGCAAGAAGCAGTAGAGCTGGATGACCTGTGACCAAAGACAGCAAGTTCAGATTCCCCAAAATGCCATGGTAACACCTACAGCATCACTGCTTAGATTATGCAACACAACACCCAGCCACCACAGGGTCAGTCTGTCCCAGCCTTTGTTCTGGTTGCACACAAGTACATGACACACTAAAAAAAACACATCCATCAGCCTGAGATGCAGAACAGCCTTCATTATTTCAGCAGCAGCGCAATCCAGTGAAGAGCAGGACTGAGGGAATGATGCAACAGCACAGAAAACAGACTCATTCCATATTGTAAAATACAGCAGGACACCATGCAATTAAACTGACTCCATTACTTTTTCAAGCCAGATCATTTTGCCAGGAAAGATAAAGTGGTCACCCTGGACTTGCTAGGGATTTGAGGGTGGCAGCAAGAAGCGGGAATAAAGAGCGGAAAGGAGAGAAAATAAAGTAACGCTTTAAAAAAGAACAATCAAAGATTTCACATTATTAACAGTTTTTACTGGGGAAAAAATTGACATTTGTTTCTTTTTAAACTGTCTGGGGTCATTTTTTGGTCATTTTTTGAGTCTTTAGTCGTAGTTTCAAAATTACATCCAGAGAACAGAAGCACTTCAGCTTGTCTCTGCTCCAAATGCAAGTAGCCACCTGGTTCCTCACTCGGCTGAAAATAGCAATGATAGGTAACTGAGTAAACTTGTCAAGATTTACAGCCATAAAAGCCATTTAAGGAAGGAAAAGCAGACATCATCAGAAATACATCAGCAACATCAGCACATCTGTGATAATAAACTTTTTTTTGAGATAAAAAAGTGTGCAAAAACACCTTCTAAATGGAACTATCTTTGCAATCAACTATTTCATAAAAGGTCAAAGGCACTGACTTGCTCCACTATTGTTGTGGTGGTTGAACACTCATATTCCACTATAATTTCTGCGTCAAGGACTGTGTACCAGCTTGACTACTCACATTTATCTGATGTAACATTTCAAGCAAAATATTCCCCCCCCCCTTTCATCCTACAAGAATATTTGGCTCATATAAATTTTGAAGAATCACCAAACTCTGAATCAGTTTACTGAAAACCTGCAAGCCTGCAGTAGACAATATAAATATGTGCCTTTGTGGTCTTGGAAAACAAACAGTTGAAACAGGCCTGGCTATTACAGATACCATTTTCATATGAATCTGTGGCTATATATATGTGCACACACATGTATACACACACAGATATGTACACACATACTAGCACATGGACAGGCTACTGCAAACAACACAGCTCTCATGATCAGAAGCATGTTAGGTGAGTATCATGCCCTCATGCAACAAAGAGCAAGAAGCCCCTGAACACTTTCAAATGCTTGAGAGTCTATTAATATATTAAACAATATTAGATGGGTAGGGGCTCTATCAGCCGCAGATATGCCTGATCACATTTTTGCAGGCTCATATAGTGCACAGCTCACTGGGCAAGTCATGAATGCCCAAAATATCAGTCTAAAGTCAATTTAGCTTAACTACTTTCTATTGCAGTATACAGGTCAAATGGACATGAGAAAACTTAAATCATAGCTCTTCCTTGGGTATATAAATGTTTGAAGAAGAAAAAACTGACACACAAAACCAAACAGTAAACCTATTACTTTTAAGAGGAGCTTTATGCTATAATGGGATGAATAGAAAACATTTTTACTACATATTCCCTGTAACTGACTTCAGCCTTTCCCCAGAATATCACAGTTAAAAGAGAAGGGAAAAAAATCGTCCAGTGACTCTACAAGCTAGTTAAGGAAATACATCTACAGCTTTGCAACAGAAACCTGACAAAGCTGAAAAATGTTGAGAGTTCCACTAAGCATTTCCCCCTGTACTCATCTAATACATTGGGATTGTTTATTGTACATTAGTAACCTGCAACTGGGAATTGGTTTAAACTTGAAATCAGAGACTTTATGCTCTGAAAGGATGTATAAGATTCTGTACAGTATAAATATGGGTTTGAAATACTATTATGTAATACTGGAGGCTTTTATGCCCAGTTGAAGTGGGCATAGATAAAGGCACTTACTAGGGTTCAGCCCTTTAATGTTTTGAATGTCAAGGAAGATTGGCTAGATCTTTTAAGCTTTTCAGAAATATGTTAAACACTTTAAATGTTTATTATGTTGTAGTGAGAAAAAAATGTGCTTGCAATCAGAATATGCTCATTCAGTACAGGGAGTGGCATCTTCAGAAAACTGGAAGAAGGTTGCATATACTTCTAAGCAAGATTCATTGTTGACCTTTAGGATGCATGCAAACATTAAGAGCACAACTATGCATAGCAAATTAGAATCAAGGAGAGTGCAAAATATGTATCTCCCAAGCTTGTTATCCCAGGGTCTGTTGGG